CTGTCCAGTCCTTGTCCTCTGTTGGCTTTCCTTCCCCAGGCACGGGCCAGCACCTCTCCAGAATGAGTGTCTTCCAGAGAAGGACAGAGACCAGGTTTTACTATTTGCTTTGGGGACAAAACTTCTAATTTCAGTGATCTGCTTTTGTGAAGAGGAATTCTGGTTTCTGTGCTTCTCAGGAGAGGGGTGCTGAGACAGCAAGGCAGGTGAAGATCAGAGAGACCTTGGTGTCCCCGTGTCCTTCAGTGTAGAGCACTTGACACCGAAGCACCGTATGCTGTGGTATCATGTTGTGTATCTTACTCTGGGCCCCAGCATTTCATGGGAATACCTTTATAATAGGCAAAAAGTAGAAGCAGCTAAAGCATCCATCAAAAGATAAATTGATAAATAAAATGTGATCTAACCATATAATGATATGTTATTGAGGAAAATAATATAATTGAATATCCCTGCTGGAATGCTTGCAACCAGAAGTTTCAGGTTTTGAAGCTTTTCTGGTTTTGGAAAAATTGCATAGATTCAACCTGTTGATCACCCTTACGTGAAACTCCAAAATCTAAAAGATTTCTCAGCTTTTTCTAATTTTTTTTTTTTTTTTTTTGTCTTTTTCCTTTTTGTCGGTACCAGGGATCGAACTCACAACTGCCTGCTTGCAAGGCAGGTGCTTATGCCACTGAGCTAAATCCCCAATCTCCTAATTTGTGTATTTTTAATGAGTGAATAATATATGAATTATGTCTCAATAAAGATATTAAAAATATGCCAGTTCTCGAGAAAATAGGTTTTGTTCATTTTTATCAGCAGCTGACTTATAAGATTCAAGTGTCTATTACAATTCATAACTCACTTTTTTTTGGTACCAGGGATTGAACTTATAACCTTGTGGTTACCAAGCAAGCACTTGAGCTGTTGAGCTAAATCACCAACCGTAACTCACACCTTCAGTATGAGTTAGTTACTAATGGCATTGGAATATCAGTTGTTCATTCTGAGGAAGAGTGATTAGGAAATATGGAGAGAAATGGTGCTATATGTGGAGTGCTTCTAGCATTTTCCACTTCACAGTAGGATGTAATTTGTTCCTCCGTCAGGTATGTTAGTGGAGAAATAAACTTCCATTTTCCTCGTCTCATCCTTGGTTACTTATGTTGCTTGAGTAGAAGCTGAAAATGGGGTGTCTCCTTAGGAATTCTTGATTGGGAGGTTTTCTCCACAGCCTTTCAAGGGTCAGACTGCTTTGGAGAAGGTGGACTTGTCCCTTAGCCTGTGAATATTACAAAGTCATACGAACTTGAATAGGCTTGTGTTTTGGCAAAGGAAGTGAGTTTTCCACCCAGTTGGTGTTATCTCATTCAGAATTCATCAACTCTGATATAATACAGGAAAATACTTAATGATCTTACTGACATATGCCTCTTGTATATATTTCTGTCCCGTTCAGTTTACAGCTAAGGAAGGTATGATGGAGAAATGCATATTCCATTTAAGTGGTGCTTTGTATTATTCCTATATGAGTGGCTGGAATGGAAAAATAATTATCAGAAATCTGGGATCACTTTCTTTTTTGTGGTACTAGGAATTGAGCCCAGGGCCTTCATACTGAGTTACATTCCTAGCCCCTTTTAAGTTTTTTTTTAAGATAAGATCTTGCTAAGTCACTAAAGTTGCCAGAGTGCTGGGATTACAGGCATGAGCCATCACATCCAGCTGGGACAACTCAGGTACTCAGCTTATTTTTTAAAAATATCATAAATTCTTAACCAGTTCATTCTTCAAAGTCATATTTAAATAAAAAACTAGAGCATACCCTAAAACCAAATAAAAATTTAGGTTGGCTGCCATATAGATTGCTTTCCTCATCATCACAAACAATTTCTGTTGCCTCTAGTTAAAGAGACTAGAAACTCAGACTCAATGGGTGTTTCAGAAATAGATGATAGCTCTTTTTTTTTCCCAAGCTGGGCTGAGGGTATATTTCAGTAGTAGAACATTTGCCTAGTGTACAAAAATTCAATCCCCAGTACCCTCCCCCACCACCATTTTTTTCCCCAGAGAGTTTACATCTTTCAGTCTCAAAGATAACATGCTTCATTCCAAAGACAGAGAATTGGAGAAAAGTGAAACCCTGTATCTGGCTAACCAGCCCCCTCACTCTGCCAGGGTCTTTGGCATCTGGAGCATGTGTCTCCTCCCCCATCTCCATATTCTTGTCCTTACAAAAGCTCTACTGCAAGGCCACATTATACTGTGGTCTTCAGAGGAGACAGATGTGGCTTCTTTTGTGACTTTATTCTCTGAGATTCTTTGTTTTGTATGACCATGCCACTCTGTGTGATGCAGAACCAGATTTGCTATTTTTTAAAATGTTTAAACAGTTGATGTTCTTTATAAATTCCTTAGATGGTTTCCATACTTCTGTTTAAAATACTCAATCTGACAATCACAAGTATAACCTTGGCAGAAGTAAACTGTATTTGAGAGAGGCTGGTTAACAGAATATCTAAACATCTTCATACAGCAGACAAGAATAAATCTTTCAGGACTGGTGATGCAGCTCAGTGTAGAACATTTAGCTCTTGTTGTAGTCAGTGTTTGCAAGGGAAATAATTTAATACAAGACACATAATTTATAGGATTATTTTATAGTATTCACCCAAAGAGTCAAATACAAAAGAGTGCAGGGAATCTATCTACATACTAGAGACCCCAAGAAGAACATTGCTGGATCCCACAGCAATGTCCTGAAGACCTAGAGCCCATGACAATGCCCCTATGAGTCCAGCTGGAGGCCTAGAGCCCACAACAAGGTCTCATGCAAGTCTGTACCAAGGGTCTGCACTGGGAAGGCCCAAAGGTCAGTAATGGAGGCTAGGAAGTCTGTGCCAGTGGGACGAAGGATCTGCACTGGAGCCAGAAAGTGATGCTAAAGGTAAGGACCAGAACTCCCCTGAAAGAACTACAGCCATCCTCAGTGATAACAAAGACCTGAGCTCCTCCGATGATGAGAACTGAGTTCATATCAGGAAAACCACCATGACAAGCTTCTTCAGGGGAATCAACAACACACCATCTTCCCCTCCAGTTCTCTTTTTATGCTATTGGTAGCAATTCTCAGATGGGCCTTCTGCATCCAGCACCACGCTGATTCAGTTCAGCTGGGTGCCACAGCTGACCACCAGTTGTCAGTCCACTACACCTGTCCTGTATGAGACCTTTGGTTCAGTTCCTAGCACTGCAACAAAACAAAAACATATCTTCAAGTGTAGGAGAAGAAAAGAATCATTTTCTACTGTCCTAGGCTCTTGCTTGTCTGGGATCCCTGTGACAAAAGATGGATTAACAAAACAAATGACATGTTTTAATATACATATGTCATGTAAACATGGGAAATACCCACAGAAAAAGGAGTAACTCCAAAGACGTGGTCCAGAATGCCAGTTTAAGCAGGCTGAGTCAAGAGGATTACTCTGAGTTGAAGACCAGCCTGGGCTACACAGTAAGACCTTGGCTCAAAAAAAAAAAAAAAACCCTAAAAAATAGCGGGATGTGGTAGCATATACCCATTATCCCAGTATTTGGGAGACTAAAGCAGGAAGATTGCTGTGAGTTCGACAATTTGGGATACATAGTGAGTTCAAGGGCAACCTGAACTACATAGTGAGAGTCTGTTTCAAAAAAACTCCCCCAAAACAAAAAACAAAACCGAATACCAATTTACATAGTATACACTAAAAACAAAGGGTGTGTGGAAGGCCAGGTATAGGGAGGTGACCTAGAAAAGTAAACAAGAGTAGTTCTGTTACATGATTTATTTGCTTTCTCCACTGATTAGAGTTTCTTGTGATTTAGTTTTCTTTCTCTTCTTGGTACAGAAAGGGGACAACATTAATGACAGAGGTTTCATTTATAGATGAATGAATTTCCCTCACAAAAGATCACCCTCTGTTTTTCAGAGATTCTCCTGTGATGAGCAATTCCTCAAAGTAATCAGCCTATAATAACCCTTAGGCCAATGAAGCATACTTTGGGGTGGCAAATTCTGGTCTCTCACAGAAGCAAAGGTATCTGTCTCCATCTGTTCTCTGATGCCTGGTGCCAGGGAGCCAATAAAAACAAAAACAAACAAACAACAAACTGTCATTCATTTCCTTCCTGGACCCAAATCCTCCTGCTTGCCACTTTAAAGCCAATACTTGGGAAAAGAGGGTTGGCAAAGAAAGCAGATTCATCAAGGTTGGTACCCTGAGAAGATGGAAAGGAGTTGTTCTTCTCTCAGAAAAAGACATCCTAGGGGACTCAGATGCATGAAAGGGAGATGCTGGGCCAGTGGCCAGGAAATCTGGGTGCTGAGCAAGGTCTTTGTTGTCTGAAGCATGTGTCTCCTTTTTTGTTTTATGTTTTTAACACGCAGCCCCAAATATTTAATCTACCTTGATCTCCAGGGGCTAGTTCCTGCGAGTCGTTAAATAAACATATTATTTTTCTCCAAGTTAAACATCATAGCAATTTACATCCCTTGTGTTGAAGCACATAATTAAAGCATTAGCACGGAGGGGCATTACACATTCTAATGTTACATGAAGGTTACCGGAATTTCTTGGTGCTGTTAATCTTGGTGCTTGTTAATCTTGGTGAAGGTTATGTAATGACACCTTAATCATTTAGATGTGGCTTTTCTGTAGAATTTAGAATGCTGAGCCAAAGGAGAAGTCAGGGATGGCTCATGTTAGTTTGGATGTCATGGGTTAGGTGACTAGAGAAGTCAGTGTGACATGAGCAGGGTACAGGGGACTCATTTGTTTATGTCCTCCACCCTGTCCTAACCCTGTCAAGCCTGTCATGCTATAGAACCTTTGAATTCAGTCTTAAATACTACACAGGACACCACTGCACTGATCAACTCCACCTAACAGGCATTTGTAGCAACATGAAGAAAAAGTTGGTAGCGGTCTCATTTCTATTCATTTTCTCTCTCCCATGTCCTGCATCCTTGCCAGACCAAAGTAGAAGAAAAGATCCAGGAAATCTTCAACTCTTACAAGTTCAACCACCTTGTCCCAAGGTAAGCTGTAGGTAGGAGTGTGCAGGGCCCGGGAGGACGCCTCCTGTGTGGGCACCTGCTGTCTCTCCTTGTTTGTCTGGCTACGAGGAGCATCTGCTGCAGACTGGTGTTTCCTGACCCTGTGGCCACCTGGATATGCATGTGACTTGGCTCCTGCCTCCACTAGTGCACCTGGGAGGAGGTGCCCTACTGTCTGGGCCACCAGCTGTTGGGTGGGGATGGCCCTTGAGGCCTGACCTCTGAGGTTTGAAGCTGGGGAGAGGAATTCAGGTTTTTAATTAATTGTGGCCTGCTGCTTTGGTGTTCACATGAATACTCAAGTTTCTGCTTGTTTATATTGCATTTTAAAACGGAGTCCGGGGAGTGGCAAGGAGTGGATTCCTTTAGTAAAAGTTTTTATTATTCTGCAGTGCTGGGAGTTGACTAGGGCCTTACTCATGCTGGGCCTTCCTCCCGAGCCACACTCAGCCCTAAATCATTTGAAAGAAAACTGAGAAGTTTGAGTTTCTTCAGCCTGGTTCTGGTTGGGATTTGTGAAACAGATCCCAAAGATGGAATTCTAGATGAGAAATGCAGTGCTGTTGGAGCTTAGCAAATTGAAATCTTCGTCCTCTGTGGGGTCAGAAATTCTAAAAGGGGGAGTTAGAAGAAGAAAAAATTTATTTGTATTTTTTAGAGCTGGGGCTTCCACCTGGGCCATGTGAGATAAGTGCTCAGCCAGAGCTACATCCTTAAGTGCAAAAGAAATTTTTTATTTTGAACTTTTATTTTTCCTTTTCTCCAGTATTTCATAATGTATCACATCTGAGTTTCAGATTGTTGTTTCATCCCTTGGTCATTATTTCTCTTCCAGTCAGAGTACTTCTCTGAGACCATCCTGCATTGTATGTCCATCCATCAGCTGATTAGCATTGCAGAACCACATGTGGTCATCATTTTATCTTAATGACAGAACATCTCTGACAATTTCCAAGTGTGGTGAGGCGCCACTGGTTCACTACGTCTGGGAGCTGCAGATCTGAGTTCCTCCTCACCCCCTTCGTCAGTCTCCTGACCTTGTGAGACCGAGTCTGAGTCTCTGGCTCATGGAACATTACGCATGATTTCAGCCCTGTTACCTTTGTTCCTTGTTTGGTCATCATTCTATTTTGCCCCTATTTTCTGAAAGTTTTTGTTTTGTTTTACTAATCAGTCACTGTTGAGAATAGGTGGAAAAGGCACATACATATAGGGAAAAACAGGTGGAAAGGAAAGACAAAGAGGTAAATAGCAACCAACTAGAGGAGTCTTTGGCCAGCCTTCTAGACTAAACGTCTGCCTTAACCCAAAACTCAGGCTCAGGAGGACGAATGATTCCGCTGGTCCTGAGCCACAGCTGGAGATTAGCGGATGATGCCTTTTGTCTCACCAGTTGGAGGAGTGAGCACTTTTAGAAATAAGGGCATCTGGGTTCCTCCACTGCGAGGCCTAAGCTGTGTGTGCTCAGCTTCACTAGTGCTGGGCAGACTTGGCGATGGTGGGAGGGGCGTTGTTTGGGGGGCTTTATTGTTGGCAGTTTTGCCTCCAGATGGCTCACCTGACAGCTCTGAGTCACTGGACACATAACCTCTGCGCTGCCCACGCAATGCACCTTTGACCATTTGGCACTTTCTTTTTCACTCACCATCAGCACAGAGCCCTGCGACTCCATCACTCAGATGAGAGACAGACTGAGAGGCTGCAGCCTGGGGGAAGATGTTGTTATGGGCAGTAACAAGAAGGGACAATAAAGGAGAATCCCCTGATTCATAGGACTGCCGTCAGTGTGGGTGGGAAACAAAAGTGCTCCTTTTAGGTGTGTATTCTTGTGGAAGTAGAATGTATCAGGGCTCCAGATTTGCTTCAGGAATATGAGTTTCCCATTTTATGCCTATGAAAATGAGTGTTTTAAAGATGCTAATTAATATTAGTGACATAAGCAGGTGTGTAGCACATGCCTATAATCCCAGCACTCTAGGAAGTTGAGGCAGGAGGATCATAAGTTCAAGCCCAGCCTGAGCAGTTTAGCAGTTTAGTGAGATTCATGCCCCTCCACATTCACTTATCATTTTAAATTGTTTTCTCTTGGACAAAATGACCCAGTACTTCTTGGAAGTGAGAAATACAGGGTCCCTGAGCTGAAAGTGCCCTGGAGGTTCAGTGTGCTCCAGTTCAGGCTCTCGACGTGCTTCTCATGCAGTACAAGCGTAATCCCAGCACCTGGGAGCTGAAGCAGGAGGATCACTGCGAGTTTAAGGCCAGTCTGGACCAAATAGTAAGACCTGTCTCAAAAAACAAAACAAAGCCCTGTAAAGTATATAAGTTGTTGGTTTTTAATGTAATCAGAGGAGTGCAACCATCACCACAGTTAATGTTAGAACATTTTCTTCAATCCCAGAAGGGAAGCTCTGTCCTTTAGCCAGCACTGCCCTGTTTTCCAGCTCCTGTGCCTTGCCCGCCCCCCCATCCCCCAAACCTGTGCTAATGTACTTTCTGTCTCTAAAGATTTTCCATTCTGGGCACTTTATGTAAGCGGAATTATACTTTGTGACAGGCATCTTTTGCTTAGCATGTTTTCAAGGGTCAGCCATGGTGTAGCTAAATGACTGTTTTGGTTTGTGTTCAGATGACTCCTCGAAGCTTCATGCAATTATGGGCACAGCTGAGTCTGGCATTGGTGATTGGTTTGTTGTCTGGTGCTGTTGATTGGTGGTGTGAGTGCTGCACCAGCCCAGGGGTGGAGCCAGCATATAAAGTAAGGGCAGGAAGAAGGTGTGCCTTTCCTCTTCTTGCTCTGTTCACTCTTGCTGTTTGGGGTTGCCATGAACAGCTGCCCTGCCATGCCATCTTGCCTTGGCACCAGATGAGTATGAACTGACGCCTTCCCCCCACCCCGACTGTATGAAATAAACCTTCCCTTGCTTCACTTTGGGCATCAGGTATTTTGTCTAACAATGAGAGAAAAGTAACCAAGACAGTGACTCCGCTTGCTCTGAGATGTAAAGCTGAACTGCTTTAGTGCACTTACAAGTCCTGCATGATCTACTACCTTCCTAAGTCTCCAGTCAGGCTTCTCTCTGCTCATTCGCTGGTATTTTTGCTCCAACTCCTGAACTAAATGGACTTGAGTGTGCTGTGGTCACTCTGTCTTGCCTGGCTAGCTCCTGTCCTGCTTCTTTTAGGAAGGTTTCTCTGACTGCTGGGCCAAAATGGGCCAGCACAGCCCACTGAAGCAGGAGGATCACTGCGAGTTTAAGGCCAGTCTGGACTACCTAGTAAGACCTATCTCAAAAAGCAAAACAAAGCCCTGTAAAGTATATGACTTGTTGGTTTTTGGCAGGAAACCAATGGCAGAATGGCACTTTCCAGACCATGATGGTCATCGGGCAGGGCTCTACTTGCTTTTTTGCTGTTGACTTGCATATGGCCACTGCAGGGCCATGGCTCTGGGGAACAGTCAGCCTGGTCCAGCGCTGGCCCTGCCACCCTCAGGGGATGGTGCTTACTGAGGCCCAGCCCCTGGACTCTTAGGAAGAGGAAGTGAGTCTGGCTTCCCCTGACCTTCGCAGTGTGCCTGCTGCCCAGGCTGTCTCAAGGTCGCCAGCCATCCTGTCATCGCTCCTCAGTCTTGTGTAGCATCTGCTGCAGTTAAGCACCTGCTCCCTGGTCGCCAATGCCATGACACTGCTTCACTCCAGAGGCCCCTCATCATCCTTCAGCGTGGGTCTTCTGACGGTTCTGCTTTCAGTCTTTGCTGCCTGTTCTCGTCTGTAGGTTTGACCATACCTGTGTGCAGATGAACACCCCAAGTCTGCACATTTAATCTGGGTCCCTCAGGAGAGGAACACGTTATCTTAGCCCATTTTCTATTGTTATCACAGAATGCCTGAGCTTGGGAAAATCACAAAGTAAGGAGGTTTACTGTGGCTCTGGTTCTGGTGACAGGGAAACCCAAGAGCATGGTGGCTGTGCCTGCTTCACTTCCCGGTAGGACCCTGTGCTGCCCGACCTCAGAGTGGAAAGCAGAATGGCAGGCAGCACCTAGGGAAGGGACCTGCATGAGGGGCAGCCTCGCCTTAGAACTACTTGCTCTCCTGCGAACAGACCCGCTGCAGTGAGCAAGCTGTTGATCCCCTGCAGTGATCTACGCAGTCCATGCTCAGGGCCCAGCACCTCCGACACCTGACGTGAGAATCACACCTCTGCGTGGATGTTGGAGGGGACAGAGAATGTCCCCGTAGCACATGTGATTCTGACTGCTGTCGGCAGTGCATTCCTCAGGCTGGTTTGCCCTGTGCAGCTTTGTACCCACTGAAGTGCTTCCACCTAGCTCAGTTCGGAAACCCACACTAGGGCCTCCTGCTGCTGATTTTTTCCCAATGCACGGTTCTAGTATTTTTTCTTGTGGCTCAAATACTTTTTTATCTTCCGTTTGCTTACTAAATTGAGTAGCAGTTCCTCAGCTTGCACCCCAGAGCCCTGTAAACAGGGCCTTGGCTGCCTTTCCTGCAGTTCTTTCTCACTCCCATGTTGAGGCCACATAGCCTCTGTGCTGCACTCTACACAAGCTGTCAGCTGCCTACATCTTAGAATGTAAGTAAAATTAAAGTTTTCTCCCTTGTCAGGGCCACCTACCTCAAATTCTACTTCTTCTGTACAAGTTTTGCAGATGATTCTTTTCTTAAGATTTCCCCATCATCTCTGAGCCTCAGTAGTGTTTTATGTGTTACCTTTCTGAAACCTGCCCATTTCCTCCCGTTTTGCAGCCTTTTATATAGGTGTCTCATATCCAGTACTGAGTTGGGAGACTTTAAGGTATAGTCTGCACTAATGGCCTTTTTAAGTTTTCATTCTGTCTTTTTGAGACAGCGTCTCGCTATGCAGTTCAGGCTGGTCTTGAACTCATTTTGTAGCCCAGACTGGCCTCGAACTCACAGCAGTGCACCTGCCTCAGCCTCCTTAGTTCTGGGATTACAGACATGTGCCACCGTGCCCAGTGATGCCCTTTTTTTGAGCAGTGTGAATTCTGTAAACTGATTGAGTTGCCTACATAGAACAGGGAATGGTTCGCTTCCCTTTGGTCTCTGTACTCAGCAAGCACGGTGAATATCTAAACATTCTTCCCCTTTTTTTTCCTTCCATAATCACACAGGCCCATTCTGTTATACCAAGCAACAAATAGTACCTCTGTCTGCCTGTGCAGGTGGCCATGGGTGGCACATTCTGCCAGTATTGCTGACCTCAGTGCCCAAGATGTGGCCGACTGCAGAAGGCAGACACTGTCCTCTGGCCCGGGCCATGGGTCAGCATGTGGGAGGTGGAATTTTAGGAAGGAATAATAGACGAATAAGTGAAAGGCAGGCAGGGAACAAGCATAGGTTTCAGAGGAGTGACTCTGGAAGAAAAGACCGGAAGGACAGTGGCTAACCAAGTGCTTACAGGATGCAGAGGCACAGGACACCTGACTTGGTTTCATGCTGGTGAAACTTCTTGGGGGACCATCACTACCTGGCAAGATGTGCTTTGAGCTGAGTTTCAGTTAGCGTCAAATGTCTGCCAGCACTGTGTTCATGCACTTCAGAGACATTCACAGGCAGGCCTCTTTTTTCTGATGTGGTTGTCCCCTAGAGCCACAGAAGTTGTTGGCAGTTCATCTGGTGCTGCGTATGCATGTATATGACTATCTTGGTTACTTTTTTCCCATTGTTGAGACCAAAACCTGACACCTAATATTAGGGAAGGAAAGGTTTATTTATCTTATAATTTTTGGAGGTTTCAGTCCATAATCAGTTGGCTCCAAGGCAGGGTGGCATGGCACTGGGGCAATGCTTCAACGTAGCAGCCAGAACAAAAAGAGGTAAAGCAAGCCTCTTTTCCTCCTTTATATTGTACACAGGCCACCCCACTGCAGGGCAGGTGTAGCACTCACAAAATCTCCTCACCCTCTTCTTGCACAGAATGAGGATATTTACAAAATAAGAACCCTAGTTCCCTGCTGAGTCTCTTAGACCTAAACTTCTAAACTTCTCAAGTTGACACAATGTATCAACCATAACAATGAGTGTGTGCACACGAGGATGTGTATGCATGTGTCTGTCTGTTTGAAGAGAAACCATAAGCTACTACAACAGGCTTATAGGCTCTTTGTCTTTCCAGGCTTATTTTGCAGAGGGAGAAACACTTCCATTATCTGAAAAGAGGCCTTCGACAACTGACTGATGCCTATGAGGTAAATATGTTACCCAGGGATTTTTTCTGCCAAGTCTTCCCCACCCCCGCCATTTGAATGAAAAATGCTGTTGCTTCTGACTGGTTGCACATTCACACATACCAGGTGGCTCCGCAGGAACCAGGGCTCTGTCACATAGCTGGGATACTACTTCCTGCAGGCAGAACCAGGCTGCTCCAGTTTTGTCACCTTCTAGAGCTGGAGGGACACTTTGATGGAGTGAGGCTTTCCTCCACCGTGAAAACACAGCTGAGGGTTTACACACTTTCTCCTGACCCCTTTGATAACCTAAAGTCTGTTATCTAGTAAAGCCCAGGCCTCTGCCCTAAATTGAGCTAGTTCTCTCCTAGGAGAAGAACAGAACATAAACCCCAGAGAGCACCTCTTGTATTTAAAACTATAGGCCCAGCTTTGAGTGGATGTAAATGTTGAAACCAGTTCCAGTTAAACAAGCCAGCAGAGCACATCCGTAGGCTGGATTTGGCCAGTGGACTGTCAGATTTTGATTCCCCAGTCACATCCTCCTTGGTTAGTGTCCTGTGCTAAGTCATCTTTCCATTGCTAGGACTGACTTACACAACTTGAAGGAGAAAAGGTTTCTCTTGGTTTATGGTTTCAAAGGTCTTAGTCCCTGCTTGGCTGGATCCGAGGCAGAACAGCATGACCAAGGAGAGCTGCTTATTTTGTGGTAGCCAGGAAGTAAAGAGGAAGGGAATGGCTGGAGACCTCACCCCAGTGACCCGCCTCCTCCAACTGGGCCCCACCCCCAGTGGACTGACTCATTGGTGAGGCTGGTGACTTCGTGATCCAGTCATTTTCCTAAGCCCCACCTCGGAACACGGGAGACTTTGGGGGCACATTGGAGATCCGATCCATAACAGTTCCCATCAGCTTGATACAGGTCATGCCATAGTCTGCTAAGCAGTGTGGTAAAATCTTACCTTCCATTCTCTTATCTGACCCTGTAGTTGTGCCATGAGTTAGGGCAGTCTTTATTTTCTTAGGGAAGGAAACTGGCATAGGTAAGGTAATTTGCTGAGAGGCACCTCACTAGTGGGGAGAGAAACTGCGATTCACACTTAGCCAAATGCTGAGCATGTCTTCAGTGGCCCACCAGCCTGGCCCCCATGTAACCATTAACCACAGCTTAGATTGTTACACAGTTCTGAAGAGCGCAGCAGTTTGGGCTGAAGAAATGAGCACTGGATTAAAAGTTAAAAACCTACATTCTTATCTCAGCTTTGACATTTAGCATTTTTATAATCTGGAAAAAAATTTCCCTGGACCTCATTATATAACTGGAGCACAACTACTGTTACGTGCCTAGCCTAGCCTTGAATCTCAGTAGCCGTGTAGGCCTCGGGTTAGAATTGAGGTCTGTGTGTTACCTTTGGAAGCCTTTGCCAGCTCCCCAGGCAGAAGGAGTCTCTTCTGTGTGCTCGATGGAGATCATTTCCAGCATTTGTACAGGACCATGTACTTGTGTGTTACATTCCAAAAGATACACAGTAACTTGTATTTGATGGAACTAAGGCCCTCTGCTTTTAAGATGACCCTATTCTATACCCCAAACCTTGGCAGAATTACAATCACATTCCTTTTCATTATCTGCCCCCAATGTCCACAACAGTGCTTGGCACAAGTAGTTACCAAAATATTTATTGAGTCTGAGAATGAGTTAATCCATGAACTCACTTTCTGAGACTAGATTCCTTGGGTCTATCCCAGGAAAAAACAGCCTTTAACTTCCTGAAGTGTGAGAATCTTCCTTAGATGTCTGCTGGGGACGGACCTGTCTAAGGTAAACTTCTTTTAATCTCTTTTTTCCCTCTTCTCACAAATGTTCTTTTCAGTCCTGGCTAAAGCCACAGAGTAAACCCCTGTTCACCAAGTAAGGGTTCCCTCCTCCCCTTGCAAGGCTGCAGAAAATGAGACAGATCCAGCCTTGTCAGCAGAGTGTTGGGGTGACTGTGAATAAGGGGTGTGTTTCTTCTTGTCCTCTTACAGTGTCTGGATGCCAGCCGCCCATGGCTCTGCTACTGGATCCTGCACAGCTTGGAGCTCCTAGATGAGCCTATCCCCCAGATAGTGGCTACAGAGTGAGTCTAGCAAAAAATCTGGGATACTTGCTGGCATTGCATGCTAACTTTGGGCTTCCTTTTTTGTTTTTGTGATGGGGGAAAAAACCAAAAAAACAAAAAAAAAACAACTGCTATCAAGAAATCTTTGCCCTTCTCTTGACCTCCAGCAGTTTCCTGAAACTCCTCCAGCTGACATGCCTGTTGTAAGTTGGTGGGTAGAACAAGACTTTGAACTCTCAAGAGAAGGCTTCTGGTTCCTTCTGTGGCCTTTTCTTTTGGCTCTTGGCTCTGATCTTTGAGAAAAGTTTTTTGCCACCAATTCTGAGAGATACAATTTCACTGGCAAGTACAGGGTGTGTTTGCATAGCTGCTATGGGAAGCATGGGCAACTCAGTGAGCAAAATCACCTTTGCTGCCTGTGAACACCTCTCAGAAGTACCTCTTGGCCAGCGCCTGCAGTGTCGGATAGCTCTTAACAGGACTGCCTGGGTTACTGTCTTAGGTACCAATGTCATGACTTAGTGTTCTCATAAACTTCTGATGACTAGAGAGCTAAGCAACTGAGAGTCTTCCCGAGGTGTTTGTGCAGATGGTGTTGGCAGAATGACACCTCTTTCTCAGAAGCTCATCATAATTCACATCTTAAGGAAGAAAAAACTAATCTTAACTCCAGTCTTAGGAATATGGGGATAGGAAAGGAATCCAAGAGTCCCACAGGGCCAGCCTGTCCTCTTGGCTTGCATCCCTCCAGTCCCCTGGTGTGCCTCAGGGCCAGGAACAGGGGACCTAAGGCTCCTGAGCCAAGTTTGGTTTTCCCAGCACACGGTGGCAGCTGTGTGGGGACTGGTGGAGGCCTGTGGGGCCCTCCCTGGTCACAGTGTCCCTGCCTCAGTCACATTGGCAGGTCAGAAGAACAGAAGTCACATTGTCTCATTCATTCTGTCTTAACAATAATCTCTCATTCTTGCTTTCCTGGGCAGGGTGTCTTGTGATGAGTGTGGATGGGGAAGATAATAATGAATTAAGCCCTTAACCCTGTGACTCCTGCTTTCTGAGGCAGAGAAAACACATGCGCTGTTCTGATCATCAGGATTGCTTCCAACACTGAAAGTAGAGTTGGACGCAGTTTCTGCAGTAACAGGAATTTAATTGTCAAATAAAGGCCCATGTGTTTTTGAAATACCAGTCGGGGGCTGGGGGGTGCGTTTCTTTTTCCCCCACACCTACACACTCAGGATGTACTCTCTGCTAAGAATGGGAGAGTCGCCCAGGAGTGAAGCAGAAAGAAACGGAGGATTTTGTGTGAGTGACACGCAGATGCCTGACAGGACTAGACCAGGCTGGAGCTGGGAGACAGTGACGGGGCTTCCTACAGTGAGGAGCTCAAGTCAGGATGGATTCTGAGTGCTCTCTGAGTTATATAACTCAGTTGGTGTTTTATCATTGGATTTTTGTTTGTTTTTCGAGACAGGGTCCCACACTGTAATTCAGACTATCTTTGAACTCACTGTGTAGCCCACGCTGGCCTTGAACTTGTCATCACTGGTTTTTTGGGGTACCTGTGGTAACATCAGAGAGGAAAATGGAAACCCTTTAAAGGGGTTTGCAGGTAGTTAATTCTAGATGCAGACAGTAATGCAGATATTGTGAACAAAACCTAGTAGCCCTGACCTATGAGGAAACAAACTATGTTTACTAAGATTCTGAGCAATTTTAATGGCTTTTATAAAAATACGGGGCATTTTCTGTTTTAGACTACCTGAAATAGGATATTACCTTTTTATTTATTTTAAACAAGGAAAAGGAGTGCTTTGAAATGTGATCTTTTTTTCCCCTTCAAATACATATTAAAGTGATGTAGAGGCAGGTTTACCTCTGGAGGTGCATTATTTCTGTACCTGCTTCCCTACCCGCCTGTCGTTCACTGCACACGCTCTACACATACACGAGAGTTTGTCTGCCTTTCCTATTTTGTTCAGTTTTGTGCTTCTGTTTGCTTCGGGACACTGAGTTCCCTCTAGTGGACGGAATCACTTATGTCAGCGACTGTGACTCCTGACCAAAGCCAGCAAGGCCAGGCTTTTCAGCTATCAGATGAGGGATATATTCAGAGAGGAATTTAGCTTGCTTCTCTGGAGCGACCATATACAGACATTTACATGTTAATTTACAAAAAGTAAACTAATATTTTGAGTCCAGCATTACTTTGCTTAATGATTTTAGCATTGGAGGAAGCATCATTTAAACAGAATCCCATTATTTTTTATTAAAAGCTGCTGTAATGGAAATACAGAGTAAAGTGAAACCACTGTATTTAAAGTTAGGTTTTTAATTCCTGTAAAAGTTAAAAAATGTCTTTAACTTAAAAACCATTTTGGAAGTTTTGAGTTTATAAAGTGTTTCCAAGCCTAGTGTGGTGGTACATACCTGTAATCCCAACACTTGGGAGGTTGGGGCAGGAGGGTTGTTGCAAGTTCAAGAAAGCCTGGGCTACAAAGTAAGCTCAAGGCCAGCCTGAACTGCACAGTGAGACCTTGTCTCAAAAAGACACCCCCCCCCCAAAAAAAAACCAAAAAACAAAAAACCCAACTTTTCCAGAGAGAAATTCAAATGTTATTTTAGTGCTTATTTCCCTTTCAAAGGTTATTAGTAACCCCTCAAGTATTTTTCCTTTTAAAGCTTGCATTAAAATATAATTGGTGTGTTTTCTTGTCTCTCAGTAGGGACACCCATACCCAGGCATTTGTCTTTGGGCATTGTTTTTGGTCAGGTTGTGCTGGCATCTCAGGGTACAGATCAGGGATGCTCTGAGTACCCTCTTCAGGACAGTCCCTGCATCAGAGAATGACACAGCCCCTTATGTCAGTCCAGCCAAAGCTGAGACAGCTCACTCTTCACAACTAACCAGGATGGCCTTTCACTTGTCTGTTGTTTGACTGCACCTCGTGCAGACCCCTCTGGTCTGTGGGGCTGCAGCTGGCTCACGGTGGGGCAGCTGGAAGAATTAGGACCCAGGATACGCAGTGCCCCTAGTGCCTCTTGGCTTTGCTTCTACTCCTGGAATGACTGCTCCTGCGGAACTAGAATCCTCACAGTTGTTATAGGCTGTAAGTCTGTCTGTGGTAAGCTATTAAGGGGAGGAAGTGGGTTGTTTGTTTGTTTTTTATTTTTTGTGGAGCTGGGGATTGAACCCAGTGTTTTGTGCATGCTAGGCAAGTATTGTACTGCTGGGCTATAAGCACAGTGAGGAAGTTATTTTCTCAGATTTAGTAAGAATTCGACAGGTTAGCCTCAATTTTTGTTACAAGAAATTTTTTTGTAACGACCCTATGTATACCGGAAGTATTTTTCTGGGTAGCTTTCTCGCTGTCTGTAACATCATTAAGCCTTTTAATAGTTTTTCCACTTTTTAACTTTTTTTTTTTTTTTGAGACAGAGTGTCACTATGCAGTTCAGGTAGGCCTTGAGCTCATTTTGTAGACCAGGCAGATGAAGAACTTGCAACGATCCTCCTGTCTCAGCCTCCCAAATGCTGGGATTACAGGAGTATGTCACCAAGCCTGGCAATTTCTTAACTTTTTTTGAGATAGTAAATTTTACAACTCTAATATGAATTCCATTTGTGTAAAATGGAGGCTAGGGCCAGATATAGTTCTGAACAATGCTGTTTATTATGCTGTTAAAAAGTGTTTTGGTTTGGTTTGGTTTGGTGCTTTTTGCTGGGAACAGTGCCACACACCTGTAAATCCAGCTACCATCCTTAGGAGGCTGAGGCAGCAGGATTGCCAGTTCAGGGCCAACCTGGGCAACTTAGTGAGACCCAATCTTAAAATAAAGTAAAATAAAAGGGGTAAGGGTTGTAGCTCCATGGCAAAGTACCTGTCTCAAAGTCCTGAGTTCAATTCCTAGGACTACAAACAAACAAAAATAAGCATGTTTTTGTTATTAATTGTTTACTCCTCAAGGACTTTTATCTCTGATGCTTGCCTGCTGTGTTCCTAGTCATTTCCTACTTGTGTTTATATGCTTTACCTGGTCCCCATCCCTGCCTTCTTAAGTGCTTATATCTGGTACTTATATCTGTTTCATTTGTTTTATTCTGGATTTTGATTTGGTTCTCTGTTTGTATTATTTGCTTCCTATTCATATTTTTTTCAGTATGGAGGATGGAACCCAAGGCCTTCACAATGAGCTATATCCCCAACCCTTTTTTTATTTTTTATTTTGAGACAGGGTCTCACAAGTTGCTTTGGCTGGGCTCAAATTTGCAGTCTTCCCGCCTCAGCCTCGCAGAGTGCCGGGCTTTCAGGAGTGCACCACCACACCAGGCTTGCGTGTACTTGGGAATCCTCCGTCCTCATTGGTGATACTCATACCCAGAACCAACCACTTTACAACAGTCCTCAACCATTACCTGAAAGTGACTTCTTAGAAAGCTGATAGTAAATCATGGGCGTTCTTGCTTTGAATTTGATTTTCTTACCTGGGTACAGCCTTACTGACTCTGATATATCCATGTAAGGTATGGCTGTGGCACTGGTTATTTTGGTTTTGGTTTTACCTCTGTGGATACTGGGAACTGAACCCAGACCCTTTGTATTGAGCTATGTCTCCAGCCTTTTTTATTTTTTACTTTTGAGACAGTGTCTCACTGAGTTACTAAATTGCCCAGGCTGGGTTCAAGCTTTGCATGTTCCTGCCTCAGCTTCCTAGAGTACTAGAATTAAGGGCACGCACCACCACACCCAGTTAGGTTGTTAAGCACTCAGGTGAGGTTTGGATCTTTTTGGCTTCAGGAGGCTAGGGCTGGTGTATTCCTTATTAGCTCCCTAATGATTTTATCAACACACATTTGGGGTCTGAAAATTCTTGATCTCCAAAGATAGTTTCCCACTTCATTGGTGATTGTGGTGGATGCTAGAATTAGAGGAACATTGCTGACGTCAAAGAAAGTTGATCCATGGCCACATCTAAGATATGTGTGTTGATAATATCTTTAAAGGAGTCTAAAACAGGCCACACTGCTTGTTTACACGGTATTTCCTGCTTACAATTTTTCAATTAGTTGGTGAATTTTTGGTCTCTTAAGTTTCTCCCTTTTGTTAGATTAAAGTCTCATTAACATCTTGGTTTTCAGAACTGCTAAGTCTGCTAAAGGCAGCTGGTGGCCTAGTGGTCAGTTTGGCAGTTCCTTAAGTTGCAAGTTGGAAAGCCTGGGGATCAGAATGTTCTGTATGCGGAAGTGAGGTGGCGAGCTGCACCCCCGCCCTTAGGCACAGCCTGGGACGGTCTTGTATGTCAGCTGAGGACCCTTGCTGTGAAGGGGCCGTATCGAGGTGTCTGGAACATTTAGATCCTCACTCACGCCAGACTTCAGGCTACCAGGTCAGGAGTGTTGTGTTCAGCACAATTCTATCTTGGGCACTGGAGAAGGGAATGGATTGCTTAGGTGACTCTTTTCCTTTCTTCATTTAAAAAATGTACAAAGCTTTTGTTGTTTTATGTTGCTGGGGCATAACCCAAACTATATACACACTGGGGAAATCCTCTACCACTGAGATACTGTTTTTGTTACCTCAACCTTTGCTTTTGTGGTAGAGAAATCTTAGTAGGCTGTTGCAGCCAGCTTTGTTAAGAATTGAACTTGTTAGCTGTTTGTTTTTGGGAAATGGTATGATCACTGATGACTTGGGAACTATGTTGGAATAAGTTCCATTAAAAAGTGTGCCAAGAACTGTCTTGCCTCTCTGTCGGTCTCTGTTACCATCCTTGTGTTTCCTATAGTTAAATTTTAGGTGTAAAGAGAAGTGAATGGATAGTGGTCTTTTTTTTTTTTTTTTTCTGTTACTTCAGTAATATATTTTTTTTTTATTTTGAAAGTAGTAAAATACAACAGAACAAGACAGAATAAAACCAGCTGAGACCGTGTAGTGAAATTGGTACAGAACTTCACAGCAGATTACCAGGATAACAGTAATAGGTATCACAGTATATTTCATTATCTTTACAATAGTTGTTTTTTCAATCATGTATATCAAATTAAAATGAAATATAGAATATTGAATAGAGCAGTACCATTAATCAGAATAAAGCAAAACAGATGAGATGGTAGAAGGAAATCCCCCTTATTTGCTATGGTCAACCTCCCAAGAGATGCTCAGATTTCTGGTTCCCATTTGCTAATGGGGGGACAAGGGAAGGGGGTAGGGGAAGTGGGATGTTTGACTCTAGGCCATGCACCAGTAGGTTCACTATTGCTTAGCAGGGAGGCAGGCTGGTTGCTTGGCTTCCCAGCGTCCTAAGTTCCAACATGGCGTGGATCTCAGGAGACACAGGTGGTTCTCCCCCTGGAAGGGCTGCAGTATGGATAGTGTTCTAACCTGTGAGATTTGAAAACTGAAATGGCAAGGTGGGAGTGTTTTCTGTTATTGTCCCTGTCCCTCCCTGTAGGAGGTCTGAGATAAAGTAATCAAGTATGACGTAGGGAAGCTGTGGTGAACTTGGGTCTTCATGAAACTTAGCCTATGTGGACTCCCTGGCAACAGTGAATAAGAAATAATGAGATGAAAGAGCTCAGAAAAGAAGTGCCTGATCAAATGTGGTGGCATGTGCCTTTTAACCCAGCACTTGGAAGGCTGAGGAAGGAGGATGGAGTTTGAGGGCAATCTGGGCTACACAGTGAGACCTTGTTTCAAAAAAGGGTAGGGGGATGAGCACTAGAAAGAGACAGGCTTGCTATGTGGTCTTTTAAGTGGAGGATTTCCTGTAACACTGACCCACTGAGTCATGGGCAAACAACTTAGTGAGTGGGGCCTTCTTGGAATATTCCCTTCCAGGGAACTTCAGGGGACCCTGGACAAATAGGGGATCTCTTGATGTCACTTAACGCAGGAATGTAAATCTCAATGGCATGCTCAGAGGCAAATCATCTCCAAGCAGTTTTCCTCCATGAGTAGACAGGAGCCCTTCTGCATTGGCATGAAAACCCCTCTAAGACCCCACAGACTATAGTGTTCTCCTGATGTGTGTCACCTGTGCTCCTGTGGCACTGCCACCATCACTGAGCATAGTTCGAGTCTCTGTTGCATCCCCTCAGCCACAGAGGTGAGCTTCTTACCAGCGTAGCAGCAGTGCCACCCAGGTCGCAGTGGGCGCAGGGTGACATTTCTGTGTGTTCTAGGGAAGCCTCAGCAGCAGACCTAGGCTGGGCGCCTGGTGTGGGAAGAAGCAGTTGAGCACAAGGTACTAAGCAAAATCCAAAGGCTGTGAGATCCCCAAAGGAGGGAGACTGGTACCCCAGATCCAGGGCTATGAGCCAAGTGAAAAGTTCAGGGAGAGGCACAGTCTGGAAGCCTGTTTCTATCCAGCCTTGTGTTCTGTGATTCCTGATGCAAATGCTTGAATTAAATACAAAGTGCAGGAGCCTGTAAAACTTGACAGTAACTGTAGAGCTGAAGCTTTTGGGGGCAGATTTTTTTTTTCCTTTTGAGGGAGAGGAGATAATTAGATATGGACTTTGGTGGGAATTTGTTGATTAGAAATTAATGCTCTCAACTTTGTTTTTCCCTTTGGCCATGTACCTAGTGTGTGTCAGTTCCTGGAGCTATGCCAGAGCCCAGATGGTGGCTTTGGAGGGGGCCCTGGCCAACACCCGCACCTTGCACCCACGTACGCAGCCGTCAACGCGCTGTGCATCATCGGCACTGAGGAGGCGTACGACATCATTAACAGGTAAAGCCGCAGCCCTCAAGGCCCAGGACTCAAAAGGGCTCCACCGGCCGCACGGCACTGACCTCTTCGCCGTTTTGCAGAGAGAAGCTTCTCCAGTACCTGTACTCCCTGAAGCAGCCCGATGGCTCTTTCCTCATGCATGTTGGAGGTGAAGTGGACGCAAGGTGAGTAGGAAGCTGCATCACACCATACAGCTGCTGTGTTGCCAGAGCTGTTACAGCCAGGAGCAGCGTGGCTGAGCTGCTGCTTTGTTCCAGAGTGACAGGCAGGAAGACATGTCAGTAACAGTATCATAATCCTTGTAGGTATCATACAAATGTCCTCAGGGGTCACTACCTCTTGACTTCTTTTATGTAAACTTCAAAGTATTAGAAACAAAATGCTTCCATTATAAAATTTTGGTGTAAAATGAGGTACCTAATGGATTCATATATTGCTCTTCTAGATCATTTGAAATAATAGTTACCATTAAAAAAGAATAGAAAACAAGGAAAGGATATCTCATAAATGACTGCATAATACCATCTTTTATCTCTGGGAGAGGAAAGCCTGATAGAGACCCAGTAATACTTCTTAGTTTGTTTTGCTTTTTGAGACAGGATCTTGCTGTGTAGTTCATGCTAGCCTGGATCCACTGTGTCACTCAGACTGGCCTCAAATTCATGGTAGTACTCCTGCCTTAGCCTTCTAGGTGCTGGGAATTACAGGTGTGCACCACCATGCCTGACAACTTCTTAATCAGTTTGGTAAGACCCTGAGAACACAGAACACTCAGGCTCTTTTGAGCCTCTGGGAGTTGCTGTGGAAGCCACAGTGGCCTTGTGGGCCAGCAGAGTGCAGTACTGTGAGTTGCACAAACCGCTTTGTAACTGTTGGCGCAGACTTTACCTAGAATCGTGACTTGGCTGGCACAATAGCACACACTTGTAATCCCACCTACTTGGGATGCTGAAGCAGGATAGCAAGTTCTCAGCCAAGTGGGATAACTTTGTGAGACATTGTCGCAAAACAAAAAAGGCCTGGGAATATAGTTTAGTCTCTTTTAATCAGTCTTGGCTTGAAATCCATTTTGTCTACAAATAGAATAAGCTACCCCTGCTTTTTACTGTGGTCCTGTCACATGGAGTATTGTTTTCCATTTTTTGACTTTCAGTCTATGAATTTCTTTTAAATTAAATATGTTTCTTGTATGCAGCCTATTGTTGGATCTTGCTTATTGATCCATTTTCCTAGTCTGTTTCTTTTGATTGGTGAACTGAGACCATTTCCATTGATGGTTATAACTGATACGTATTGACTTATGCTTGTCATGTTATTTTCCTGTTGTTGGTTTTCTTTTTATTTTTTTCCTAATTACTTGCCTTCCCTGGTGGACTCCTTCTGTTGGGGTTCATGGAGTTATAGTCCTCATTATCTTTCTAGACTATACTTCAGAATATTTTGGAGTGCTGGTATGGTGGTCATGAATCACTTCAGATGTTCTTTGTCATGGAAGTATCTTATTTCTCCACCAATTTTGAAAGATAGTTTTGCAGGGTACCTCAATCGGTTGTTGGAAGTTTTTTGGTGGGGGAGGGGCTTGAAATACTTCAAGTTCTCCTTGACTTGAGGGCTTTTGCTGAGAAGTCTGTTGTGATTCTGATGGACTTTCATTTGTAAGTGATTTGTTTATTTTCTCTAACAGCTTTTTCTATTCTGTTCTTGCGTTGCATTTCTGGAAACATGATTATTATATGGCTTGGTGTAGATTTTATTTTATCTTGGCCGATTGGAGTTCTGTATACCTCACTTATCTGTATGTCAATTTCTTTTTGCCTGTTTGGGAAATTTTCTGCCATTATTTCTGTGAGCAGGTTTTTTACATTCTTTGTGCTGTTTCCTGCTTTTTCATTGAATCCTATCAAGCTTGTTATTCTCTGTATCATCTAGCAGCTGTTGGATTAATTTTCCATGGTCCCTTGTTATTTTTAAGAAATCTTTCTTTTTGTAATTACTAACCACAATCCTGTCTTCTAGATCTGATATCCTACCTTCACATTGGCTCATTCTGTTATATATACTTTCAATGGAATTTTTAATCTGGATATCTGTTTGAATCTGTTTCGTGGATTCTTTCTTTCCTATGTTGGGTGTTCATGGTTTCCATCATTTTCCTAAGCTCTAGTTTTTTAAAATCTGTATCTGCTTTACAGTCACTAACTATATCTTTCATTATGGTCACCATCTCTAGTTATCTGAGAGATTATTTCTGATTTGATTTTTTTCTAGAGCCTCTTTCATCTGCTTTGTTACTTCCACTGTTACCACTTCAGATAGTCCAGATGAGTGGCTTTCAGATTGCTCCACCTTATTGCCCCTGAGTTTGCCTTGGGTGAGCTGAGAGTCTGGAATTACATCTTTCTTATGTATTGTCTCATTTTGTCTTCTTTTAGTTTAATTCCTGGTTGATGCTTATAAATTGCTTATGGCAGGTAATTTCATTGCTAATATTTAGAACACATACTATTTCTCAGAATGGTCTTCCAGGTTTAGCTGGCTTTTAGGTTTTGAGTCTGTTGCAAGATCCTACCTTTTCAATTTATTAGAGATGGGAAGTTGCTACCTATTTGGCACAGGCCCTGGCTGTTTGGCACTGGCCTATAGTATTGTTTATGACTTTTAGGCAATCTCAGTCTTCAGGAAGAACAGTTGATTAGAACAATTATATCACCTTGGTTAAAGTAACACAATCAGCAATAACAACAGCAATCAAACACAGTCTAGAAAATGACAAACTGTGATAAGTATTAATTTATCACCTTTATCTCTGTGAACTATATTTGTAGTTAAATAACAAAGTCTAAAACAAACCAGAAAGTTATATACAGTAAATATGCCTTCAATATGGCAATTTTACCCGAGGGGAGAAAGCTTAAAAGAGGTTAGGGGGGAAAACAGAGAAATAAAAGAAAAAGAAGAGATTAAAAGCAAGGCTGGTAGATAAAGGAAGATTATACAAACTTTGGGAACCTGGCGAAGAAGACAGAAGGGGAAGTGAGAAGAAATGAATAAAAAGAGCAGAACAGAACAACGAGGAAACTGGAAACGGTGTTTACACTCATAATAACAAGAACAGACAATTAAGAAAAACAGAAAACAAAATAAAAAAAGAAGAAAAACAATGTCCACTTCAGGGCACATCTCTGCTGTCGCTGGTGGGTAGACAGAGTGGGCAGACAGAGCCCAGACCCATGTTGATTAATCCCAGCAAGCCAGCCATAGATTTTCATTAGGGTAGTGAATCATCCTAGCAAACCCGCACCTTGGTTCCCCTAAAGTTCTGATTTCTGACTGTGAGGCTGGAAGCTGACTTACTCAGCCTGCAGCCCTCCATGTGCCTCCTGTTGGCCTGAGTGTGGTTCCTTGACCTCCTGCTGACTTGAACTTGGCAGGCTTACCCTGACATGGGGAGCCCTAGATGAAGCCAGCCCAAAGCTGCTCTGAGTTCCAAACTCAGTTGGCCTCTGCACAAGATGGCTTCTGGCCCATCGTCCTCTCCTGGGGGATGTTCAGACCCAAATAACTCACCAGCCATTGCAGTCATCTGCACCCATAGGGTGTGGTGTGTTCCGGCAGTGTGCTCCTCCATGGAGGCCTCTGAAGTCATCAGCAGCCACTGTGTGTCTGCAGGTTGGAGCTGCCCCTCCCCAGGCAGTAAGTCTGGGCCGAGGGAGAAAGTGCCATTTGCCACCTCCTTCTTCTGCCTTGAGATCTCTCTCTCTCTCTGCTGTCTGTGTGGGCTTCAATTCCTGCTTCACTTACTTGTTGGCCCGGACACCGATTTCCATCCTTCTTCTTTTCCTCACATTGCTGTTTTCCAGCATCCTGACACCAAATCTGAGTGAGTCAGCTTCGCTGCTCTTCACCACTCCACCATCTTCCCCAAAATGAACTATATTTTAGTGATAGAGCATTTACCTAGAATGCACAGTCCCCAATACTGCAAAAAGAAAGAAAGTGTCTGAAATGTCTAGCAAGTCCCTCCCTGGCAGAATACTTACAGGCATGCAGAACACTCACTGAACAAGTTGTTTCTCAAAGGCAGGGGATCGCTGACATTTTATACCACTTTGTGTCCTTAGTTGGAGACACGCATTTTTGGTGAGGTTTCTGTTATTGCCTGGGTTTGCTTCTACACATATGCGTCTGACTTAACCATTAGTTTGCAAGTATATATAGAGAAATAGCTATGAAAGTTACAGAGCATAAAGCACACTGGAGATAAAAGTAGGTAACCAGGTTGCAAAGACTTTTACTGAAAGATTTTCCTCTATATGTAATTTGTGTGTTCAAACAGCAGCAACAAAACAAGATTAGTTATCTGTATATACCATGGAAGCTGATCTAACTGTTGAGTTGAAACAGTGTTGTGCTCATTTTTCCTAAGAAACATGCTTACCTACACCACAGTCACTACACTTTCATACCTGTATTAGATACGCACTTGCACTTACCATAAAAAACTTACTAATATCAAGCAAAAGCAAACAAACTATAGCCAAGTTCTTTTTTGATATTTTATTGTATACCTTTCTGGATATGATTATTCTTTAAAACTCATTTGTCTGAGCACTAGTCTTTTTCTTTGCTCTGATTCATTTTTTTAAAATTTTATTTAAAGAGAAAAAAACAAAACAGTAAAAGGATATAAGTAATATAGAATTTCAAAAAAATAAACAGTAAGATTCATTTTTGTGGACAAGTGCTGGACAACTTCTCCAAGAAAGGAGGTGTGTTCTAGTGAAGAACACAGGAGCCATGCTCCTCTTCACCTCTGTCTTCTGCCATCGAGCCAGTGCTTTCACTCATATGGCAGGTTGTAGATAGAAATGGTAGCCAGCGCAGTGGCGTATGCCTGTAATCTTAGCAGTCTGCGAGACTGAGGCAGGAGGATTGCAAATCTAAACCCAGCCTGGGCAGCTTATCAATTTAATAATACACCATCTCAAAATAATAAAAAGGGGTCTGGGCATTGTGTGTGTCTCCCTCCCTAGCTCCATGTGGGATCCGGGACTCCTCATTTCTCAACTGTCATGTCGGTGAGAAGCAAGCTCCTTCACAGGCCTCCTCCCAGCCTCAGAGGTGACATTAGCATTTAAGACAAATACTTCTGAGCCCCCCCAGAGGATCAAAGCCTAAGGAAATGGTATCAGACCTGGGGCCTCTGACCAGCAGGAGCCTGGCCAGTAAACATGCTGGTAGAGGGTAATGCTGGCAGCTTCTGCAGAGATTTCTCCGGAATACGCCACTAAATTAGACTTCCTGTTACGTCTCCACTGAATAAGTTGGAAATTATACCTATCTTTTTTTCTTCTCTTTAATGTTCCTTAGGAGCTCTTAGAAAAATAATTTGGAAACAGAATTAGAGCATACAGTTTTTTTTTTTTTTCATAGTAGATATTTGAAAAGACTGCAAGGAGGAAGAAGAGGCAGTCTGTGGACATGTCCCATGACAGAGAGACAAACTGAACTAAAATGTGTCTTGAGAAGAATTAGCTGAAAGGATAAAATGGCAAGAATTATTTCAAATCAAATAGGATAATGTTAAAAAAAAAAGCAGGGCTTAGGGCTGTCGCTTAGCGTGGAGCACACAGTTAGCATGGGTCTGTAGTGCTGAACAGACAAAAGAAAAAAGTGTTCCTTCTTTCTCATCAAAGGGTACATGTCTGTGTCTGTCCTGATGAGGTGCTCAAAATCAAGTTAGAGTTCTTTCCTCCACTATAGGTCAAAGAAGAGGCTCACCTATGACTTTCCCTCTTGTTTGGTACAGGCAGCCATTAGAATTTCATGGCTTGTGGGGGAAAAAAAATGTATAGTTAACCTTTAATATATTCATGCTACATATACCCAGACAGCAATTCCGCATCTAAAACAGTGCTGACATCTGACTAACTGAGACAAGTCTCACGTCCTTCCCTGACACCGTAGAGCGGTGGGAGTCACTGTGGGTCTTTGAAAGGCGCCAAATCCACTTCTGACATGAACTGATGCAGCTGTTGTTTCCTCTGATGTAGATGTGACCCTGTGGAGGTAGGGAGAATAGAATGTCATGTTCCTTCATAGAAGCCATGCCGTGAGCCACTCTATCCAAAGAGAATGTCACACCTCTCAGTTGGAGACCTGGGAGGACTGAGGGGTGAGGACAGGAAGTGATTCCAGCTTCCCAAGTGAAGCAGTTAATTCATCCAAGGATTTCACTGGCCTTATGTAGGCTCCTCTTTAACACCTAACAGTTCCTGTGTTTCCGTCTTTCCAGAAGTGCGTACTGTGCTGCCTCAGTGGCTTCTCTGACGAACATCATCACTCCAGACCTCTTTGAGGGCACCGCTGAATGGATCGCCAGGTGAGAGAAGCCAGGATTTCCTGTGGCCTGCTAGAGAGCAGCTGATCAAGATGTTACTTCACAAAAGTAAAGAAAAATTTTTAAAAGGACTAGACAGAGATAGATTATAAGACACATTAGGATTGAATAACTGTACATTTTCCAAATGCAGATTTTTATTAATGTTATATTTCAGCTTAGGCTGGCAAAGGCCAAAATCTCTAGTTAAGAATCCTGTGTTGGAGGGAACCTAAACTGATTTCAGTGATGTGGAAAGCAATTTAACAGTAGCTCAGTGTGCTCTTGCTTATGACCCAGCCATTACATTGCTGCAGAAACTCGTAAACATGCTTGAAAGAGACAAGAGACAAAGACTTGTTTATCAAAGCAAAAAGGTTCAGAGTCCATAAGTTACGGTACAGTCCCATTGGAAGATAATACAGTTTTGAAGAAAATGAACTAGAGCTACATGTATCAATATGGATAAACCTCAGAGATGGTATTTTTTGGGGGAATAAGTGTTAAAGAAGACATATCAGCACATTTACTTAAAATTTGAAAACATAAAAAACAATTCCATATTGTTCACGTGAAAAATAGGAAAACATTTATGGGAAAGAGAAATATCAAGGTCAGGATGGGGGCAGCTAACTTACCAGGAGAGAACAAAAGAAATGAAGTTGGGCTGTCCACAAACATCAACTGTTTTTGTCAGAGCCCTTTACTTTAAAAACAAAACAAAACAAAAGACGTTTTGTGTACATCATAGTTAAATCTAAGCTAGCTGTTAGATCTGTGTGTGTTCTGCATACATAGTATTTGAAAACTTTACTGGATGCTTCAAATATTTAATAATTTGAAAAGGACGCAGGGCAGGGTGTGCTGGTGCACAGCTATAACCCAGCACTTGGAGTGACGAGCGGGAGGATCATGAGTTTGCGACCAGCCTGGGCCACGAAGTGAATTCAAGGCCAGCTTGGGCTACAGTGAAGCCCTGTCTCAAACCTGCCCCTCCCTCAAATAAAGAAAGGAAGGGAGGGAATGGAAGTAGGAGAGAGAGGAAAAAAGAAAAAGGAAGAAAAGAAAGGGAAGAAGCCCGGAAAGGAGAAGGAGAAAAGCAATAAAGAAAGGAAGGAAGGAAGGAGGCCAGAAGGGAGAGAAGAAATGAATGAACAAACAAACAAACAAATGAATGAATGAATGAACAGGGCCGGTGGTGTGGCTCAGTGGTGGTGATCTCCTAGCATGCGGGAGATCCGGGATTGCTCCCTAGCACAGAAAGGAAGAAAGGGGAGAGGAGAAAGAGGGACAGAAGGACAGGGAGAAATGGAGAAAACAAAAGGCATAGTCGGTACATATGTACTTTTTTTTATTTTAAAAATAATAAAATGGAACAAAGTAAAGCAAAACAACGCAAATAACACAGGACTTCAAACAAGGCAAGAAGTCAACAATGGCTACCTTAATAATGGCTACTTGTTTCCTCGAAATAGTTGTCCGTACCTTCACACACAGTAAGTTAATATAAAACAAATAGTATAAAAGCAATCAAAACAAAAGAATGAGAGTCTTATGAGTCTGTAAAACCAGAGGAAATCAATAATGTCTATCGTAATGTCTTTGGTTTGCTTCAAAATAGCTGTGCATACCTTCACACATATTGAAATCAAATAATTGAAAACAGACTAAAACCAATCAAAACCAAGAATAAAAGCATTATTAGACTTCAAAACAAAGTAAGGAAATCAGCAGTGTCTACCATGATGTCTCGTTTTCTTCAGTGTAGCTATTTATATCATCACACATACTAAAATCAATTCTTTTTTTTTTTTTTTTTTTGTCTTTTTCATTTTTATCGGTACCAGGGATCAAACTCACGACCGCCTGCTTGCAAGACAGGCGCTTATGCCGCTGAGCTAAATCCCCATCCCCTAAAATAAATTCTTCTAAATTCTTTAGATGAAGTTCTAGACACATAAGCTGTACATGCACACATATGTACTATTTAAAAATTTTTATTTTACCAAACTAGTTCTTATTACTGTGTAACTATAACTTGCACAGAAACTAAATGCTTTACTATGATTTTGTTTTGCATAACTTTCATTTTCCGGAGTTAAGATCCATGCTATGAATGTATGTATCATGATTTCATTCCCAAATTCTCTGCCTGCCAGCACTGTAGAGTTGTTCTCCACACAAACACGTCCTGTAATCCTGTTTCCTCTGTGTGTGTTTATTTGTGTGTGCATGTGTTCTGGGTCATCCCTCTTGCAGCCCTCTGCCCCACTTTAGCCTGGACAGATTGCTCTCAGCTTGCAGCTCAGTGGGAAGCCAGAAACTTCCATTCAGCCTGAAATTCTCTTCTTCCCTTCCCTGCTCTGAAACCCTGTCCTTTGGTTTGGGGGGAGGGTATGTTTGGTTGGCTGGGTTGGGTTTACTTGCTCACTTTAATGAGATGAGTATTGAACTCTGATAGGTCCTAACAAAGGGAACTGGGAAGAGAGAGTTTAAAGATCATGTGTGTCTTTATTCTGCTCACAGAACCTGCTGGATGGTTTAGAGATTTCCAACTTGGAAGTGGTATAAACTATTTCTGCTGGATTGTGTAAGCATTGTTTCATTACCTTTTGGCTTCCGACATGGTCATTAATAAGGCAGGTAAACACAATAACCAGTATTTCCCAAGAACTCTGCAGGTCTCTGCAGTCAGGTAGCTATAGGTGAAGATTAGGCTTAGGTCCTTCTTAGATTTCATTTTTTAGTATATTTTCTGTTTCTCAGCTGAGATTTCCCATCTTTTTATTTATCGTGAGTGTCTTCTTCTTCACTATGGCAAATAATTGGATGTGCTTTAAAACCCTGGAGAAAATTTAGGGCCAGAGATGTGCATCGGTAGAGCTGTTGCCTGGACTGTGCCAGGCCCTGGGTTAATCCCCAGCGCTGCCCCCACACAAAGCAGATTTATTTCACAGATAGCATGTCTGTTACAAACAAAGAAAACAAAGTCTAAATAACTTGTAGTACCAAGAGATACGTTCTTTTAATGTATATTCTTCTGAAGATGAAATCATACCATATATAGTCATTTTATAACATCACTCATAAAATATATTACTGTAGCATCATTTTAAATAACCAGGGAGTGTGCTGTTGCACAGGTATCATATAATTTATACAACTAGACCCTACCTTTAAAGTTCTGAGTTATTCTGACATTTTGCTGCTGTAAATGGGAAGATGCCAAACGTGCTTAGATTTCATTTGGACACACTCTTAGTTATTTTTAAAGATTAATTCCTAGAAATAGCCCTTTCTTGCTGGGCCAGATATTGTGCATTTTTTTTGTTTTTGTTTTTTGCTATGCTGCGGATGGAACCCAGGGCTTCACACATGCTGAACAACTCCTTTATCATTGAGCTATGTTACCAGTCCAGTTTTTTTAAATGAAGTTTTTTATAACTAGAAAATATACTCTTAATAGATAGTCTAGCCTCAAATAGTAATTATTCTAATCACAAACAGATAGTTTGAATATATAAAATAAAAAATAATGTTTAGTTTGAGCAGTGATAAGCTGGTACAGTGACACATACCTGTACTCCTAGCTATTTGGAAGGCTACAGTGGGAAGACGGCTTGAGCCTTCAAGTTTTAGATCATCGTGGGCAACATAGCAAGACCCTATATAAAAGACATATATTTTTTTTTTTGAATAGTTACAAAAGTATACATGTTCACTATAGAGACTGTGTCAAAATAGAGAACTGGAGATGTGGATCAGTGGGAAAATACTTGGCTAACATATAGGCCCTGGTTAGATTTCCCCAGGACCAGGGAAATGTTAAATGAAAACAGGAAAGTGAAAAAGATTTTCAGTAATAAATCTTGTACAGATTTAGTATGACTTGGCTGTTGGTTTGTCATGGATAGCTTTTATCAGATGGAAGTAAAGACCATTTATTCCAATTTTCTGCAGGATTTTTTTTTTTTTTATCATGAATGGGTGCTGGATTTTGTTAAACATGTTTTCTGCATCTACTGAGATAACAATGGTTTTTGTCCATGGCTCTGTTAACATGGTAGATTACAGTTATTGATTTGCATATGTTGAAACATCCCTGCATCCCTGAGATGAATCCCACTTGGTCATGGTTTATAATCTTGTTGCATTGTTTGCCAGTATCTTATTGAGGACTTTTCCATAAGTATTCTTTAGAGAGATTGGCCTGTGGTTCTCTTTTTCCCTTGGATCCTTCTCTGGTTTGGTATCAATTAATGTTTGCTTCCAGGATTGACTTCTGGGGTATTGCTCCCCTTTCATTAAAGAGTTTGAGGAATAGCGGCATTAACTCTCCAGTAAGTATCTTGTACAATTCAGCAGTGAATCTGTTAGGGTCTGGGCTTTTCTTTGTTGTTAGTTTTTTTTTTTTTTTTTTTTTTTTTTTGTCTTTTTCCTTTTTATCAGTACCGGGGATCAAACTCACAACTGCCTGCTTGCAAGGCAGGTGCTTATGCCACTGAGCTAAATCCCCAGCCCCTGTTGTTAGGTTTTTAATTACATCTTCAATTTTACTGACTGATATTGACTAACTTAGAATGTTTATGTCCTCTTGATTCAGTTTTGGTAATTCATATCTATCTAGAAATCTGTCCATTTTTCCTGTTTGTCATCTTATTAGAATATAGGTTCTCAAAGTAGGTATTGATGATATGGCTTTCTGTGAGATCTGTTGTGATTTCACCCTTTTCATTCCTAATTGCATGGATTTCAGTCCTTTCTCTCTTTTTAAATTTCATCTGTGAACCATTAGTTGTTCAGGAAGGTGATAATTTCCATGCATTTATGAAGCTCTTATGGTTTCTTTTGCCCTTGCTTTCTAATTTTACTGTATTGCGGTCTGATAATAAGCATGATGTAATATCAGTTCCCTTGGGGTTGGGGGTTTAGCTCAGCAGTGTAAGTGCCTGCCTGGCAAGCACGAGGTTATGAGTTTGATCCCCAGCTCAAAAAAGTCAGTTCCCTTGCATTTACTTAAGTTTGTTCTATGAGCCAGTATGTAGTCATATGCCACTGAGGTGTATATTCTGACGTTGTGGGATGAAACACTGTAGATATTTACTAAGTTCATTTATTTTTAAGTTCATTTATTTTAAAGTTTGGTTCAGTTCTGATATTTCATTGTTGCTGGTTTTGTCTAGTTTCTCTATTTCTGACAGTGGGGTGTTGAGTTCCCCATGATAATTGTCATAGTGCTTATTTGATTTTTTGTGTCTGTTAATATTTGTTTTTTACAGATGGGTACACTGGTATTTGTTATATATCTATTTATGATTATTCTCTCTTCCTCTTGGATTGTTCCCTTTACAAGGATGTAGTGAACTGTTTTATCTCTCTTTATCAATTTTGGCTTGTAATCCATTTTGTCTGCAAACAGAATGGGTACCCCTACTTTTTTCTGGGTTCCTGTCACATGGAGTATTGTTTTCCGCCCTTTGACTTTCAGTCTATGAATTTCTTTTTATTTTTTTTGTATTGGGGATCAAACTTACAACCACGAGCTTGCAAGCAGGCACTTATGCTGCTGAACTAAATCCCTGGCCTGTTGAATTTCTTTTTGAATTAAATGTTTTTTATATGCAGTAGACTTTCCAAAATCAACATTTATTTTTCAACTTTATTGTCACCTGATTGGTATGCTACATTCAGGATTTTATAACCTTTTCCCAATGTATAAACTTGATTAATAATTTGAGATACAATATTTCTTTGGGGGGCGGGATACTGGAACTTGAACTCAGGACCTTGTGCTTGCCAGGTAAGTACTGTGCCACTGAGCTATATCCCCAGCCCCAAAATACTATATTTCTTATTCAAATATACTATTGCCAAATTTCTAAGAGTTTTTGGATTTATTTTGCTTTTTAGGGAAAGGCATCTCCAGAAGTTAACATCAGCATTCTCCCTTCATGGTGGTGACAGGTTATGCCTCAACCTGGCAACTCACTCTCTTCCCCAGATGTGGGGGGTAGGGATGCTGTGTGTACATCGTTCACTGGGCCACTCAGCTGCTTCTCTCAATCCCTCCTTAGGTGTCAGAACTGGGAAGGTGGCATTGGTGGAGTGCCAGGGATGGAAGCGCACGGCGGCTACACTTTCTGTGGCCTGGCTGCACTGGTGATCCTCAAGAAAGAATACTACTTGAACTTAAAGAGCTTATTGGTAAGTGTCTGATGAGCCATTTACTGCTTGGGCTTAGGTCCTGGTGGTGGGATTCTGATCTGTGGCATTCTGGTCATGGAAGGGCTGAGTTCTAGGCTCAAGCTTAGGAACTTCAGCTCTTGGAATGCGCGTAAGATATGGGTGTTGGGTTCTGAGCTGGAAGCCCATGCTCAAACAGGGGCAGGATGGGCTGGTGGCTCTATGTGACACACGGCTGCTGTCAGTCTTGACTCTCTCCTTCCCACTTTTCTTTCTGCCTGTGACCAGTTTTCTATATAATGTGTTGGGCAGTCTCCAGACTCTGGAATCCTACAGACATTTGGAATGAGCCAGAGTACCTTTCCCTCACTTCTAAGAGAAGTTCAGTTCAGTCTATTAGGATTTGAGGTTTCTCTCTGTCCTAGAAAGAATATCCTAAGAGAAAAAGCTGTGAGAAGAGAACTGAAGAATTTTGAAGCAAACTTTTGTTGCCCATGTGAACAGTTAGCACCTGCACTCAAGTGAGTTCTGTGGGCAGAGCTGGGTGGCCACGCTGAGGAGGAGGCCAAGCAATTATGTCGGGACCCGAGCTCCTGACTAGTATTCAGAGAGAAATCAGAAAGCAGCCAGCTTCTGGGAGGCCCTGGATTGTAGGTTAGTGCTCAGGGGAGGCCTGGTGCACAAACAGAACACAGTCACCACCGACAACACACCACCACACCACCACCTTCTTGTCTCTGGACGGCAGGAGCTCCCCACTGTGACCTCTCAGCAAAGCAGCTCTCTGAGCTCAGGTGCCAGGCTCCCAGCATAGACCTGTCAGGAGCTTTCCAGAGGATTCTACGCTATTCCCTGAGACATACTGAGCAGCATCTCTTCTTAAAACTTCTCAAAGCCATGGAGGTTGATGCTGAACTAAGCAGCTTTGTGCACTATTTATGAAACAAAGATGAGCATAAAAGTTCACGTCCCAGGCCAAGGATGTAGTTCATCCTGCCTGGCAAGCACAAGGCTGTGAGTTTGATTCCCAGTATCAAAACAAAACAAACAAATAAACAAAAAAGCCCATGTCCCAGGCAGAAAAAAATAATTTGTAATTGAGAGTTCACAAAATTATAATGGCAATATTCTAGATTTGAACCCTGCCTCTGCTACTTGCTAGTGAAGTGACTCTATATGGGTACTCCAAAGCAAGCAGGAGCCAAGTGACTTTGAGCAAACTGCCAGGCTATTTAGATTCACTTTTTTCCTTCTGATAGGAGTGACAATCTACATTCTTTTAAGGTTAAAGGGGAGAACATTAGAAACAGCCTGACATACAGTAGGTGCTCCATAAATATCAGTATCCCTCTGCCCCAATCTACCCCTTCCTTCCACGTGTTTTGTAAGGACAGCTCCTGTATCTGAAGGACTCAATGAGCCAAGGGCAACAGATTCAAGGCTTGAGCTCAGGTACTAAAAAAAAAGTCTGTCTGTCTGGAAAACACTCTGTAGGATAAGTTAAAAAAAAGGATGAGTCAGTTGCCTGTATGGTGCCTGCTTCCTGTGCTTTGAGAGATTTAAGCATAGTTCACTTAATTGGCATTGTCCCCAAGGCACTGGCTCATCTTGACCAACTGGAAATGTGTTGCTTACATGAACCCAGTGTGTCATTTTGTTTTGTTTTTCCTATCTTTTAAGAATTTGGGATTGGTGGAGCGAGGCATCGTGGCACAAGCATTTAACCCCTTGTGGGAGGCTGAGGCAGGAGGATCACTAGTCGGAGGCCATCTTGGGCTACATAGTAAGATCCTATCTCAAAAAAAAAAGGAAAGAAAGATTTTGGGATTGTGACTCTCTATGGGTGACTAGTGAGAGGAACAGGGAAATAATACAGATTCTACAACTGTTGAGGCCTGGCTAGGGCACCTCCTGTCTACTTTCAGAGCTCAGTCTAGGAAGACTTTAGACATGGTCACCTCCTCTCAGTTAGGTAAGGCAGCTCTGTGCCCCAGGGCTGGGGCTTGGACGCCTTGGGGGCTGGGGAGGGAAACAGAGGCGACACCTGCTCATCAGGTTGGTTGTGCTTACTCCTAGGAGCTAAACCATGGCTATGTTGATTTTAAGGGTAGAGTGTATAGAAAACTTGGAGATAAACAAGGAATGGTGTCTCACGTGACTACTGGATGACATCATGTATCAGTTTATAGCTTCAGAGTAAAAGATTTCCTTCTGTCTGCTAAACAGGTTCCTCTGGAGAAGCAAGACTAGACTGGGTGGTCATCACTTGATAATCAGGACAGATGGCTTCTGCTGGCCTCCAGTCCTGCTGAGGACTTGCTAAGAGACCAAGGCTAGCTGGGTATGGTCACACACGCTTGTCATTCTAGCAGTGAGGGAGGCTGAGGCAGGAAGGTTGCAAGTTCAAGTCAACCCTTGGCACCTTAGCAATTTAGTGAGAACCTGTTTCAATATTAAAAAATAAAAGGACCAAGGATGTAGCTCAGTGGTAGTATACTTCTTGGGATTAATCTCTTACCAGTGACACCACCAAAAAAGTATCAGAAAGAATGAAACTTAAGACGAATGTCTTCATGTATAGTAGAACAGTTTGAAATAGTAAGATCAGATGTGCTACAAAATTCCATTTATCTGCTTGGAATAAACTTCCCTGAACTGAGAAGTAATGAGAACAGAGCTGCTGGTCCCAGGTGAGAGTCCCTACAGAAGCTGTGCTTGCTAGAAGCCTTTGGTGGGCCTTCACAGAGGAGCGTGGTCTCTCTTCTCTCTGCCTCAGCACCAGCTTGGAACTGAGGAGGAAGTGGTTGTCTGTTGGGCCCTGGGCAGAGATCAGTGCTGGTCGTTTCAAAACAGTCAGTTTAAAGAGCTGTGGTGCAGAGAAGAGGAAAGAAGGCCAGAGTCCCAAACCCAAGGCCCAACAAGCCACATGCTGGGTGCATCCCTCCTCCTGTTGGCCTGGGTTCCTGTCCCACGGGATTGTGTGTCTCCAGCTCACCGCTGCCTCTCTATTGGTCTCATTCTCAGCAATGGGTAACAAGCCGGCAGATGCGATTTGAAGGTGGATTTCAGGGCCGCTGTAACAAGCTGGTGGACGGCTGCTACTCCTTCTGGCAGGCTGGGCTTCTGACGCTGCTCCACCGCGCCCTGCACACTCAAGGTGAGCCAGGTTGCATCAGCAGGGTGGGGAAGCTAGGGTGCCTGGTCGAGGGGTTGAAATGACATCTGTCTATCCTAGATACTGAGTGCTTGGTGTGGAATCTCCTGCCTTGGGACATACCTGTGCTGAATAGGTTAGTTCCAGTGCCTTCGGGTTATTCATTGCTTCCTGAACTGGCTGGGACAGGATGGGCTCCCATTAAACAGCAGCTGCTGCTCTGTTATGCAGACGGAGCAGCCACTCCTGGCCTTGGGCCCGTGGCGTCTGCCACATCAGCGGGGTGTGAAGCTGCAGTGTCCAATACCATTGCATTTGGTCCCATCACAGCTGCAGGCCCACACTGCGCACGTGATCACAGCAGTGACAGGAAGGACAGTTGGTTGCATAAAGAGGCACAGAACTAGAACTCTGGGCGGAAATGTTCACCAGGCCTGGCTGATGCTGTGACCATTGGAAATGTTTCATTCTAAGTTCACCGAACCATCCTAAATTCAAGTTTGTTCCTTCTGTACCACCGGGCTAGAGGGATCCACATTCATTTCTTGTGGGGTGATTGAGGGGGATGCAAAACCAAAACAGAGCAGAAACTCTGGGAACATTCTCTCCTTTGCCCTTGGAACCTGGGGCTGCCTGCTGGCTGCTGAGTCCTCTGCTTGCTGTGTGCTAATCTGTTCCCGCAGAGATCCCTGGCCAGAGGGAAGCTTTGCTTTGGACTCAGTTGAGTAATTAATTGCTCAAGTGTAAAAGATGAGATTCTTTTCTTCTGCCCCCACCCTCTTTTCTTCTTGTTTATTCTTTCTCAGCCTCATTCTTTAGTTTCTTGATTTCATTGAAGTTACTGGATTGTGGCTGCTTTAAACTCGAATAAAGAGTTTCTGTATCTTCCTCTTCCCAGCCTGGGGCTACTGGACTGGAGTCTCAGAGTTTTAAGGAAGTAATTCCCCTTGCTTCGGAGCGTCCACAGCCTGTGGCGTGACCACTAACTACTAGGGAGGTCAGGAATCCCCTGGGAGGCCAGTGTTTCCAGGATGGAAATGACGTGCGGTGTAGGTGATCTCTGCGTTTGGAATTGGTGAGGCAGGCACCTGAGAAAGCCTCCTCCTGCCCCTGGCACAGATGAGAGGCTGTAGTTCTGCAATACCAGGATATCTAGGGAGCCATAACACGACATGACTTGCCAAGGGCTCCCAGGGAGCTGGCCGAGAATGTGGGTTTGAAGTCCCACTCAGTCCCCTTCACATCATTGCCTGGGGAAAATGCTCCCAGGGACCCTTCCTGCTTATTTAGTTGCCTGGGTCACCCTTTCTCTTCGCCTTCCCCTTCCTCCCAAAAAGAGAGTTTCTCTGACTTAGAATGGACCAGAGCAAGGTGTGTGTTTTGAACGATGGGCAAGATACTGACCTTGGATTTAAGAAGAGATGAACTGCAGAAACATATTCACCCTACATAGGGTGATCATAGGCAGGTTTCAAAGAATGTGTACAACCTCATTTTTAGTGAAGATTTGACATTTAAAAATTAATAGACTCAGGGCCAAGGGTTTAGCTCAGCGGCTCAATCACTGGCCTGGTAAGCATGAGGTCATGAGTTTGATCCCCACTATCAAAAAAAAATTTTTTTTTTAAATAGACTCTGACATGTGAAGTTACAAGGGATGTTTAGCTTTCTTTTTTGTTTATACTGCATTTTCTATTTTTCCTTCAGTTGACATATATTTCTAATGTAAGGAACAACAAAGAAGCCAGGTGTGGTGGCACATGCCTCTAATCCCAGCACTGGTAAGCTGAGGCAGGAAGACTAAGTCTGAGGCCAGCCTGGGCTACATAGTGAGTTCAAAGCTATATAGTGAGACCTGTCTCAAAAAAAGAAGAAGAAGATCAATGGCAATGAAGATTATTTTATAGAGGAAGGGAAATTCTATAAACAAAATAGTAGCAAGATAGCAAAGATATTAGTGACAAATAGTGAAGGGTCAGTAACTTAAAAAATGTCATACAAATCAAAAAGCAATGGAGAACACTCTTAACTGAAAAATGGTTTAATGATCTGAACAGACAGATCCTAGAACAGAAGCCCCCGTTATTACCACTTTTCTACTGTAACTGTTCCTATACTGGTAGAAGCTGGGACTTCTCAAGCATTCACAATATGCCAGGCCTTACTTCACATACATTTTCTCATTTGAACCTCAGAACAGCCCTGTGAAATAGATATTTTGATAGTCCCATTTTGCAGATGTGAAAGCAAAGTGCATGAGATGATGTGACTGGCTTTCTAATACCTGACTCCTACCAACAACTGTTAGCAGGTGGCTGTGTGACAGCAAGCCAGCTGGCCCAAGAGCCCTGCCACGAGTTGTCTGCCTTGTTTATGGTTAAAGAAATGCTGGTAGAAAAGTGGGAAACTATTCCTTATTACCTGATTGGCACAGACTTAAAACTTGATATGCTTTGTCAAGGAGAGGGGGAAATGGTGTTTCTGTATGGTTGGCAGGGGTGCACGTCGACATGTCAGCTTTTGGAGAGCAACTTGGAGACTGATTTTAAGTGCACTTAGCTGTTTGATCCCAGCAAGTACATGTCAGGAATTCACCTGTAGAGATCTTAGCAAAAGATGTGTATTGAATTAGAGTTCTAATAGCAAACCTAGAATGCCCATCAAAAGGTAAACAGCTAAATAAATCATGAGTTATTTGCTCTCCAAACAGCGGCTGCAGTGACTCCATCCATCAGGGCGGTGCAGGAGGCGTCCCGCATAGCATGCGAAGAGTGAAAGGCCAGGCCTGGAATTCTTCTGTGCACACAGGCTGGTCCAGCCCAGCTTTTTCCAGAAGCATATGCAAAACTCTTCAGTCAGGCGGGGCATGGTGGTGCAGACTGTAATGCCAGTACTCTCAGAGGCTAAGGCAAGAGGATCACAAATTTGAGTCTAGCCTGGACAAGTTAGCAACTTATGAAAGCCTGTCTCCAAGTGAAAAAGGACTGGGGACGTAGCTCAGTGGAAAGGCCCTAGATTTAGTCCTTAGTACACAAAAAAGAAAAAAACCCAGAAAAACTCTTCTTACCATAGGTATCTTTGAGAGGTGGGTAGAAAACAAAAGGATGTTACTTTCTAAACTGTCCCTTTTTGTGCTTAAAAAAAAATGTGCAGTGTACTTGTGGTTTTTAGTACATAAGCAAATACATTTTTAAAAATTTTGTTTAAAAAATACTGGGGGGCAAGACATAGTGGCACACACCTGTAATCCCAACAAACTGGAAGCGGAGGCAGGAAAGTTGCAAGTTCAAGTGCAGCCTGGGCAATTTAGGTAATTGAAACTCTGTCTCAAAATAAAAATAAAAACAGGAGTCACGACCTCATGCTTGCCAGGTATACACTTAATGCCACAAGCTAAATCCCTAGCCCCGATTTCAAACCCTCCATACAAAAAAAAAAAAATTCATTAAAAAAATTTTTTTCTTAGCCGGGCGTGGTGGCTCATGCCTGTAATCCCAGCACTCGGGAGGAGGCTGAGGCAGGAGGATCGTTGCGAGTTCAAGACGAGCCTGGGCTACAAAGTGAGCTCAAGGCCAGCCTGAACTGCATAGTGAGACCCTATCTCAAGAAGACAAAAACATTTTTCTTAGAGTCCTTAACAGTTAATTTTTACATATTCTAGGCACTCTCAATTTAAATTCCAGCAGGATTTTTTTGTAATGATACTAAAGTTTAAACTTCCGGTCTTCACATTGAGCCTTTTTAAAAATTCTATAGTTTAAAACAAGGTCTTTCTAAGTCTCTAAGCTGGCTGGGAAGCTTGAGCATGGCCTCCTCCTACCTCAGAATCCCCCAAACTGGGATTGCTGTACAGGCCTACACTACCACGCTTGGCTCCAACAGGCCTTCTTTGTAAAAGTCTATAAATTGGTTCTAAATTTTTTATGAAAATGAAAAAAATTGTGATAGGTGGGTGATAGTATATAAACTATCTGATTTAAAGACTTACCATGAAACTACAGTCAAGAGAATGTTGCTAGTATGGTGTATGCCTTTAATCCCAGTACTGGGAGGCAGAGGCAGGAAAATTGCCTAAATTAAGTTCAAGCCCAGACTGGGCAGTTGAACAACTTCAACCCTGTCTCACAATAAAAAAGGACTGGGAGCCAGGCACAGTGGCACTTACCTGTAATCCTAGCCCAGTGGGAAGCCGAGGGATTTCAGTTTCAAGTCCTACCTGGGCAACTCAGCAAGACTGTAAATTTAAAAAGAGAAAAAGAAAAAGGGACCTGGGGATGTAGCTTAGGGTAGAGCACCCCTAGGTTCAATTCCTAGTACCACCAAAATTTTTTGGTTTTTCTTTTTCATGTTGTGTGTGTGCTAAGGATTAAGCCCAGGGCCATACTCATGCCAGGTACAGACATTACCCCTGAGCTCCACCCCCAGCTGCAAATACATCTTGAAAATGCAGTAACTGGGCTGGGGATGTGGCTCGGTGGTGGGTGCATGCCTATCATGCATGAGGCCCTGGCTTTAATCCCCAGTATCATAAAAAAAAAAGGCAGTTTCCATTCCTGGTTACCACCCTGTAATCATATCTCTCTTCATGTGTGCTGGTGATAAAATTCAAAATTCCTGGCTGGGCCTGGTACCTCAGGCCTATTATCCCAGCACTGTGGGAGGCTGAGGCAGGAGGATTGCAGGTTTGTACCCAGCCTGGACAACCTGGCATCTCTGCAAGACCCTGTCTCAGAATTTAAAAAAAGTTTTTAAGAAGGGTTGATGAGAGTTGGGGATATAGCTCATTGGCACAGCACCCGCCTCGAGGTTGTGAGTTTGATACCCAGTACTAAATAAATAAATAAGGATGTAGTACCCTGGGTTCAGTCCCTATTACTATAAAAAAAAAAAAAAAAAAAAAAAGCAAAAACAAAACTCTGAATTCCTTAAAGCACCCTGTAGAGTTTATAAACTCTGAATACTTAAATTTCAATAATGTAAAAAGTAAAACACTCTTGCTTTTGATAATAAACATAGCATGTTTTTTTCAGATTCCAATTTTCAACATAGGTTAATTTACTTCACAATAGTAGTCTTTTATTTGTTATATGGTATGAAAGAGTGTCTTTTACATAGAATGTTTATTGCAGTTACCCCAACATTTAATAAGTATGCTTTTTAAAATACAGCTTTGTGACGATGTAATTCACATATCCTGAAGCTTACTCATTAAAATTATTAAGTCAGTAGTTTTTAATGTGTTTATAGAATCATACAGCCATCATCACAATAAGTTTTATATTTTCAAAAAAACCCATGCTCCGTATATATAGTATGTATTTCAGCTTACATAAACAAAAAAGCAAGAAGAGAAATAGGTATAGCAGGTTAGAGGCAAAGGGTAAATATAATAAAAAGCTAGATTAACAAAAATTGGCTATTAGGTTTCAGGACAGAGAATGTACATTGTGTTTTTGCAATTAGTAACCAGATGTTATGGAAAACAATTTTACCCTGTTTAGTAGTCAAAGGCTTGCAAGTTAAAAATAAATGAAAAGATACAATTTTTGCTTACAATTTTCACTACCAAGAACTCCGTATGTTATGGGGGCAGGGGCCAGTATTACTACAAAAAAAGAATTTCCTTTGGAGATAAAGTTCTGGCTTTGAAAAGCAGGAGAATGAGCAGAATTTACCATCCCTGCTAAGTGTCTCCTTACCCACACAGTCTGGCTGACAATTTGCAGAGCTTGGTCAGGGCGATGCTAGAGGAAATGTCCTCAGGAACCCAGAGGGAAGCCCAATGGCCCCGTTCAGGAGCAGGCACAGTGTGTGAGGGGAGCGAGCCAAACACCTGGCTCCCAGCCTGCCCCAGGTTAGCAGGCGCATGGTGAGGGGGGAACCTCTGCTTTGAACTGCTGCACACGCCCAGGTTTGGGAGAAGGGGCTTGCTAGGTGGACAGCAGGTGCACCAAGAATGAGTGGGAGAGAGAGAGGCCCAGCCTCTTCCCTCTGTAGAATACAAATACCCCCACTCCTGGCTGACCCTTTGCCCCCACAGGTGACACTGCTCTCAGCATGAGCCACTGGATGTTCCACCAGCAGGCCCTGCAGGAGTACCTGCTCATGTGCTGCCAGTGCCCCGCCGGCGGCCTTCTGGACAAGCCTGGCAAGTGAGTGCTGCGCTGGGGACCGCAGGGTGCGGGAGGGCTGGGCCTGGAGAGGCCAGGGCTTCCCCTGCCTTGGCTGCTGGGTGCAGGTACTGGCTGAGAAGAGAGCCTTGGAGCATTCCCTCGGAGTCACAGTGCTCCTACACCTCGGCTGCTCACTTCCTCTTCCCTGTCTCAGACAGGTGAATGGGAATTGCTGGGCTGGTGTCTTTATGCCCCCCCCTCCCGCTTTTGTTAGGCCAAAGTGATTTAATTAGAACAAGATGTGAGCTGGGGTGTGGCTCAGTGGTACAGCATTTGCCCAGCATACACCAAGCCCTGGGTTTAGTCCTTGGTAACACTAACACACACACACACACACACACACACACACACACACACACATACACACACACCCTTTTGCTGTAAGCAGCAGGGGAACACTGGCCTACCAGTTTATCAGGAAGACTGTGGCTTGCTTTGATATTTGTTTAGAGAATTGTATTAATTTACCATTAGCACTGCTCTAAGAGCTGATTCCAGAGACAGCTGGGAAGGGCCAACTCTAAAGTTACAGTTCCCATGGCCAGGGCACCGCTTGGTGGTAGAGTGCTTGCCTAGCATGTGCAAGGCTCTGAATTTGATCCCTGGCACCACACACACACAAAAAAAACCCCATATATATATATATATATATATATATATATATATATATATATATGAATGAATGAATGAAATGAAGCCCTGCTGTGGGACAGGGCTGGAGGACAGGCCTTTGGGACACACTGTTGGCAGAGGCCGTACCTCCCCTGGCCAGCTGCAGGACCAAGTGAAGCATGCAGACCCTGCATAGGGTCTGGATTCATGGGGTCACATTCGGGGGCAGGTGGGGAGCAGAGGGTCACCAGCCACCGCTGCCTGTCCTTTAGGTCACGTGACTTCTACCACACCTGCTACTGCCTGAGCGGCCTCTCCATCGCCCAGCACTTCGGCAGCGGAGCCATGTTACACGATGTGGTGGTGGGTGTGCCCGAAAACGCTCTGGTAAGGCGGAATGGGGCCCACTGCCCTCTCCATGACATGGGTCTAAGGTGCTAAATTGTCCAAGCTGTCCAGGGCAGAGGGTTGAGAGAGCAGAAGGGCTACTTGTGACCTGCAGAGCCAGCTGTGTTTCATGTGGGGATGCTGGGATGCTGAGGTCCTCGCCCTTGTTGGTGAGGCTGTGACCTTGGAGAAGGGTCACTTGACAAACCCGGAGCCTGTGAATCCTGGAGGTGGTGAAAGGCTGATACCATCTCTTCTGATGGTCTCAGAAGCCATCTCTTCATAGGAGGGCCTGGCCCCAGATGCCGTGCCGTGCCCTTGCCCACCTCATGTTTTAGCATGTGCTTATCTGCTTCCTTTAAAGCACATCAGGCCAGGCTTGGGATGTCACTCAGCAGTAGAGCTCTTGTCTGCTGTGCCCAAGCAAGGTCCCCAGCACTGCCAAGGAAACACGGGTGTCAAAGCCAGGTATAGTGATGCAGCACTTGGGAGGGTGAAGCAGGACAATTGCCCCAAGTTTGAGGCCAACCTGGCTACATGAATTCAAGGCCAGCCTGCACTGCATAGCAAGACCTCTGAAAAAAAGATGTCAGAGGCCAGCCTGCTAATGCAAATGTGTAATGCCTGTACTCTGGGAAGCTGACGCAGGAAGATCACAAGTTCAAGCCCAGCTTGGGCAATTTAGCAACTTAGACCCAAGTCAAAATAAAAAATAAAAAGGACTGGGGATGTCACTCAGTGCCGAGCTCTGCATTCAGTCCCCAGTAGTGGGGAAAAAAAGATGTCCACACCGTGAGGTAGTATTTTCCTCACTGCAGGCCACTCCACAGCAGCCTGGCAGGGGACACTGTAAACCGACACAAGAACCCAGGACAGGCGCCCAGTGCAGATGGTCACCGTAGTCACATGCAGGCCTGTGTTAGTGCTTACTAGAGGAACAGACTTAATGGCCAACATAAAGGCAAAGCCTGGAGCCCCCTGAAGAAACAGTGCTGTGCTCCCTCTTTGTTTCCCTTTCATAGCATTGGGGTGTCAAGCCCAGAGGGTGCTACCATTCACGCCCTGGAAATCCCAGCAGACCCTCAGTTAATCCCCTCAGTTAAGCCACACCCAGAACGCTGATCCAGTAGTGTAGGATGTTTCTTGCAGTTAACTATCCCAGCACAGACCTGTCCTACCAATTATTCTGTACAGCAGGAGGGGATTTTTCCACTGCTCATTGTATTTCTGAGGTTCACACGTGCTGCTCCAAGTTCTTCAAGTACTCTGGCATCTCCTCATATAAACGCACTCCGGTTCGTTTCCCTGTTCTGTTAGCATTTCCGTCTTTTCTGTTTCCTGTACTCTGGAAGTGTTGCAGAGTGATATGATGTCTGTTTCCTGGAGGAGGCCTGCCAGGTGGGTGGGTCCTCTGAGCACCTCGTGGATCTGCTCTGTGTGTCCTCCATTTTCCTCCTCCTTCCCTGGCTACTGGGGATTGAACGGAACACTGTCACACCGAGCTACATCTCCAGCCTTGTTTATTGAGACAGGGTCTCCCTATGTCACCCAGGCTGGGTTGAACTTTCCATTTTCCTGTCTTGAAGTCCCAGCATCTTGGGATTACAGGCGTCCTGCCTTGCTTTTGTATTTTCCTGATTGCTAGCAAATTTGAGCATCTTCTCAGATGTTTGTTGGCCATTTGCGTTGTCTGCTGTGAATTGCCTAACAAATCCTCACATTTGCCTTATTTTCTTACTGATCTGTAATTTCATTTTTTCCATTTTACAACTGCAGCTGTTTCCCGTCTTGTGTGTATGTGGGAGTTCTTTGTTCTTGATCTTGACCCATTGTCAGTTACATATATGTCATGGAGCTCTTCACTGAAGACTTGTGTTTTTCTTGTTTTCAGTGGGGTTTGTTTGTTGTTCGTTTGCCTTTTGAGACGGAGTCTTATTCCAACTGACCTTGAACTCATGGCAATCTTCCTGCTGCAGCTTCTGGATGCTGGGATTACAGGCCTGCACCACATCTGGCTCTTTTTTAGCAGAAGATTTAGATTTTGAACTGACCACATCTGTTAACCTTTTCTCTGGATGGGGCTTTGGCAGGGTGGGGAGATGGGCTGAGGGAGTACAAATCTTTCCCTGACATTTTTTAAGGAAGCACAAACACGTTAAACAAGTATGTCACAGTCATCATGAATGGTGGCTATGATGGAAGTAAACAAACAATGGCAAGTTATATTTTTCTTTTCTTTTCTTTTTTTCCTGGTATTTTGAAACAGGGTCCCACTCTGTAGCCTAGTCTGGCATTGAGCTCACAGTGATCCTCTGTCTCAGCCTCTCTGGTGTGCCACCATTCCCAGCTTTTTTCTTCAAAATTGCCTTAGATATTCTTCCTTTGGTTTTTCTCCTGTGAATCACAATTTCTCCCACAAAATTTGATGGGAGTTGGGAGTAGTGCTGGGTACCTGTAATCCCAGCACTAGGGAGGCTGAGGCAGGAGGATCGCTGTGAGTTCAAGCCAGCCTCAACTCCATAGTGAGACTGTGTCTAAAAAATAGAAAAAAGAAAGAAAGATTAAAGAAAAAAAATGAGGTTATGTGTATTCAGATTTAAGACAGGGAAGACAGGCAAACAGACCAAAGGAACAGAATAGGCTGTCCAAAAATGGAAGGGGCTAAAGCAGGAGAATTCTAAATTCTAGTCCACTGGTGGGAGTGCAGGAGAATTCTAAATTCTAGTCCACTGTGGACAGCTTTGCAGTTTAGAGACCTCGTCTCAGAAAGTACCAGCAATGTAGCTCAGTGTGAAGGCCCTGAGTTCAATCCTCAGTAACACAAAAATTCAGATGGTTTTTTTTATTGGATTGCTCTGAATTTTAAATTAATGGGAGCCAGATGTGGTGGCACATGCCTGTAATTCCAGCCCTTGGGAGGTTGAGGCAGGAAAATCACTGCAAATTTGAGGCTAGTCTGGGCTACAAAGTGAATTCAAGGCCATCCTGGACTGCCTGGTAAGACCCTGTCTCAAAAAGACAGAAAAATAAAATTAATTAATGGGAAAGAACTTTTTCAACATTAAATCTTCACATTTGTGAATGTAATTTTTGTTTTTATGTCCGTCAGTGTTTTTCTTAACTATTTTTGCTTGTACATATTTGTCATATATATTGAGCACATTCATTGTAGGAAATTTGTACCTGTACATAGTACCTTAATTCCTTTTTCCCTATTCCCCTCCCCTGTCTTTAACCATTCCTTCCCTATTTTCCAAAGCTCTGTCTCCATTTTTTTCCTTTTTCCTTCCTTCCCTTCCTCCTCCCTCTTCCTCGTCCCCCTCCCCATTTGAACATGTTCTTCCAACTTCCCAGCATCTATCCCCATTAAACTCCTTACTTGCCCTTTGGGTTTCTCACACAAAGGAATGCAAAATTTAAACGGGCATGTCTGATTATTTTACTTAAGATTATGGTCTGGAGATGCATCTGTGTCCTACAGATGACCCAAGTTTATCTTTCTTTATGGCAGAGAATTCTCCATTATATGTAAATAGCACATTTGCTTTATCCGTTTACCTGTTGATGGGTGTCTGTGCTGCTATAAACATGGGTGTGCATATGGTGCTATGATGCCTTTAACTCTTCTAGGAAGATACCTAGCAAGGGAATGGCTGGGAGAAATGGGACCTCGAGTTCTAGTATTCTGAGGAATCGCCATACTGATTTCCACAGTAATCGTACCAGTCTGCACTCCCACCAGCAATAATAAAGGTTCCTTTTCTGCCACAGCCTTGGCAGCGTTTGTTATTGGTTGATTTCTTGATGGTAGCCTTTCTTTTTGGAGTGAGATAGAATCTCAACATTGTTTTAACTTGCATTTGTCCAATGAGCAGTAATCCTGAGCATTTTTTTTCATATATTTATTTGCTGTTTGTACTTCTTCATCTGAGAAATATATTAATTTCAGATGTCCATCTTGGAGTAGGTCTTTCAACTTAGGGTCTCTGATTTTTTTTTTTTTTTTTTTGGTCTTTTTGGTCTTTTTCCTTTTTATCGGTACCAGGGATCGAACTCACGACTGCCTGCTTGCAAGGCAGGCCCTTATGCCACTGAGCTAAATCCCTAGCCCCTCTGATTTTGTTTTTAGTTCTTTATATATTCTAAACATCAGTCCTTTGAGTAGCTGATACAAATGTTTTCCCATTCTGTGGGTTGTCTCTTCACTCTGTTAATCATTGCTTTTGCTGGGCAAAAGCCTTTTAATTGGATGTGATTCTAATTGTTGAATCTTTGTAATATTTCCTGTATGATCAGAGTTTTGCTCATAAAGTCTTTGCCTACTTCTGTATCTTCAATAGTTTTACATCTATCTTCCTGTAGATTTAGTGTTTCCATTTTAATATTTAGATCTTTGATCCATTTCAATTTTAGTTTAGTGCATGGTGAGAGATAGGTGTCTAGTTTTAATCTTTAATATGTGGAAAGCCAGTATTTCCAGCACCATTAAAGGGGCCAGCTTTCTTCCAGGTTTTTGGCTCCTTTGTCAAACATAAGGTGGCTGAGTGTGTTTAGAGTTGTTTCTCCATTTTCTAATCAGTTCCATTGATCCTCAGGTCTGTTTTTCTTTTTTTTAATGCTGTTTTTATCGCAGTAGCTTTGTAGTACAGTTTGAAGTCAAGAATTGTGATGCCCCCTGCCTTACCTTTGTTGTCCAGAATTGTGTTTGCTATTCTGGGTTTCTTCTGGTTCCAAATGAATTTTAGGGTTATTTTCACTAGTTCTGTGAGGTATGCTATTGGTATTTTGATTGGGATTGCATTAAATCTGTGTAAGTTTTGGAAGTAAGGGTATTATCATCACTATATTGGTTCTGGCTATCCAGGAACAGAGATAACTTCAATATCCTCTTCAATTTTCTGATATCCTCTTCAATTTCCTTTTTCAGAGTACTGTAATTTTCAATGCATAAGTCTTTCACTTTCTTTGTTAGAGTGATGCCTAAGTATTTTATTTTTCTTGGTGCTATTGTAAAAGGTATTGTTTCTCTAATTTTTATCTCAGTGAGTTTTATTTGTGTACAGGAATGCTATGGGTCTTGCTTTGTAATCCAAGTTGGCCTTGAACTCACTATATAGCCCAGGCTGTCCTCTAACTTTAGGCAATCTCCCTGCCTCAGTCTTTCCAGTGCTGGGATACTGCCACACCCTGCTAGAGAATGATGTTAATTTTTGAATGTTGATTTTTTATCCTGTTACCAAATTTGGTTATTTATTCTAGGAGTCTTTGGTAGAGTTTTGGGAGTTAAGACTATTATGTCATCAGCAATAATGATAATTTAACTTACTTTCCTATCCTTATTCCTCTTATTTCCTTCTATTGTCTAATTGCACTGGCTAAAGTTTCCAGACATGTATTGAACAGGAATGGTGAAAGTGAACATACTTGTCTTCCTGATGTTATAGTGAAAGCTTTCAGTTTTTGACCATTTAGTATGATGCTGGTTGTTGGTTTGTCAGAGATGGCTTTTATCAGATTGAGATGAAGGCTGTCTATTCTAATTTTTTATTGTTTTTTTAAAATCATGAATGGATAGTCCTTGTCAGATTCTTTTGAGATGATCATATACTTTTCATCCTTGGCTTTGTGTTACATTTATTGATTGGCCATATGTTGAACCATGCATGCATCCTTGGGATGAATTCTACTTGGTCGTGGTATATAATTTTGATGTTTTGCTGCATTCCATTTGTCATATTTTACTGAGGATTTTTGTATTTATGTTCATTAGAGAGACTGGTATTTAGTTCTCTTTTTGGACTGGATCTTTCTCTGATTTTAGAATGTTAATGCTTGATAATTAATGCTTGTTTCTAGGAATGAGTTTGGGAGTACTGCTTTTTAATTTTATTAAAGAGTTTGAGAAGTAATGCCATTAGATCTCTAAAAATCTTAGAGAATTCAGTAGTGAATCCACCAGGGCCTTAATTACATCTTCAATTTCACTGACGGATACTGGTTTATTTAGAATTTTTATGTATTCTTGATTCAGCTTTGGTAATTCATGTGTATCTAGGAATCTGTCCATGTCTTCTGTGCTTTCCATCTTATCAGAATACAGATTTTTCAGAGTAGCTATTGGTGATCTAGATTTCTGCAAGATCTATTGTGATTTCACCCTTTTCATTCCTAACTGCATGGATTTTGAATCTTTCACTTTTTTGAGAAGGTTAACTAAGGGTTTGTCTATTTAATCTTTCAAAGAAGCAACTCTTTGATTCATGGATTCTTTGTATTATTTTCTTAGTGTCAATTATATTTGTTTGTGAAAAAAAAAAACATTTTTCCCCTTTTCTCCTTGAAATAAAATGGGTTTAAAAAGAAAAAAATCTTTATTTTATTGGTACATTTTAATTGCATTAATTTCTACTTTGATCTTCATCATTTCCCCCCTCATGCATGTTTTGGATTTTACTTACTCTTTTCTAGAAGCTTGAAGTTCAACATTAGCTTATTTAGTTGAATTTGGTCTGTTTTTCTGATATGGGAATTCACCGTTGTAAATTTTCCTTTTAGGACTGCTTTCATTGCGTGCCGTGAGTTCTAGGATGTCATATTAGTATTATAGTTTGATTGTAGAGATCCTCTAATTTTTATTTAATTTCATCTGTCACCCACTGGTTGTTCAGGAAGGTATTATTTTTGTAGTTTGTGTGGTTTCTTTTGCCATTGATTTCCAATTTCATTGCACTATGATCTCACAGTATGCATGGTATAATTTCCATTTCTTTGCATTTACTTAACCATGTTCTATGAGTTAGTGTGTGATCTATTTTGGAGAAAGTTCCTTGTGCTGGTGAAAATTAGTATTCTATTGTTGGGGGAAACTCTGTAGATATTTAAGTCCATTTCTTCAAAGATTTGTTTCAGCTCTGATTTTTGTCTAATTGATGTTTGATCCATCTATTTGGGGCAGTGGGGTATTAACGTCCTCCATTACAATTGTAGTAGTGCTTTTCTGATTTTCATATCAATAAGTGTTTTATATAGTTGGGTATGCCAGTATTTGATGCATATAAATTTTTTTTTCTTTGTGTGTGTTTTTTGGTACTGGGGATTGAACTCACAAACTTGCACTTGTCAAGCAGGCGCTTATGCTGCTGAGCTAAATCCCCAGCTGGTGCATATAAATTTATGATTATCTCTTGTATTATTTCCTTAACAAGGATGCAGTGAACTTGTGCCTTCTGATCAGTCTTAGCTTGAAATCCACTTTGTCTGTGAATAAAATAGCTATCTCTGTTTTTTTCTAAGTTCATGTTGCATAGAGTATTATTTTCCATCCTTTGAGTTTCAGTCTATGAATTTCTTTTTGAATTAAACGGATTTCTTGTATGCAGCATATTGTTGGATTTTGGTTCTTGATCCATTCCGCCATTTTGTTTCTTTTGATTAGTGAATTGAGATTGTTTACATGGATGTTTGTAACTAACACTCACTGACTTGTCCTTGTCGTATTATTTTCCTGTTGTTGTTTCCTTTTCCTTCCCTTCTGTTTAATTACTTGCCTTGCATGGTAGTTTCATTCTGTTGGGATTCTTGAAATTGTAGTGTTTTTCTCGAATATCCTCAGAAGTTTTTGAAGTGCTGGTTTGGTGATAATGAATTTCTTAAAGTGTTGTCATGGAAGTATCATATTTCTCCATCAGATTGAAAGATAATTTTGTGGGGTACATAGTCTGGGTTACAGATTGTGTCCTTTTAAAGCTTGAAGTACTTCACTCCAAGCTCTCCTTGACTTAAGGATTTGTGTTGAGAAGTCTGCTGTGATTTTGATGGGCTTTCATTTATGGGTGAGTTGTTTCTTTTCTCTAATAGCTTTTAATATTCTGTTCTTGTATTAAGTTTCTGGAATCTTGAGTATTATATGCCTTGGTGTAGTTTTTTACAAATAATGGCTATTTGGAGTTGTATATACCTCCCTTACCTGTATATCAAATTCTTTTACATGCTTGGAAAGTTTTCTGCTATTTCTTTTCATTTTTCTTTTTTAGGTTCTTTTTTAAAGAGGAAAAAAAAAACAGAAAAAGCAAAAGCAAACAAAAAACACCACCACAATAAAAACAAACAAAAACAATAGGGATATAGGATTTTTTTTTTTTTGTCTTTTTCGTTTTTATCGATACCGGGGATCGAACTCACGACTGCCTGCTTGCAAGGCAGGTGCTTATACCGCTGAGCTAAATCCCCAGCCCCCGGGATATAGGATTTAAAAACAAGATGATAGGAATTTAACAATGGTTGTTATATGGCATACTGTTATCTTCAAAATAGTTACTCAGATTACCAGATACACACATTCAAAGTTGATCAAATAATATGAACACTAACTATTCCTGTCCATGATCTAACAGGATTAGTGGTATAATTATCTTTGCTATCTTGTGTTTATATATATATATATTTTTTTTTTTCCCTTTTCCCTTTCCTCTTTTCTTCTTTCTTTCTTTTTTGTCTTTTTCATTTTTATCGGTACCAGGGATTGAACTCACGACTGCCTGCTTGCAAGGCAGGTGCTTATGCCGCTGAGCTAAATCCCCAGCCACTTCTCTTTTCTTCTTTTCCCCACCCCAGTTCTTTTCCTTTGAGCAGTGTCTTTCATTTTCACTATATCTATTGTAACTCCTGGATCTTATTTATTATTTCAGTTTCTTATACTAGGGAGACAATATGGTGTTTACACATGCTAGTCTGATTTATTTCACTTATGAGTATGGTCTCTGGTTGCTTCCATTTACCTATAAAAGCCTCAAATTTGTCCTTCTTTATAGCTGAGTAGTACTCCACTGTATAGAAATACCACAGCTTTTTTATGTTTCTCAGTTGATGGGCATTTGGGTTGTTTCCAAGATTTATGTATTACAAATTGTGCTTCTATAAACATGGGTGCACACATATCACTGTGGTATGTGGCTTTAATCTGGGAAAATAGCCAGAAGGGGAATAGCTGGATCAAGTGGAATCTCTAACCCTAGTTTTTTGAGGAATCTCCACACTGATTTGAACCATCTTCTGATTTTTCATTTTTATTTATTTATTTTATTTTGGTACTGGGGATCAAATTCACAACCATGCACTTGCAAGGCAGGCACTTACGCCACTGAGGTAAATCCCCAGCCCTCATTTTTCATAATGGTTGTTTCAGTTAATCTTTTTTGTTTGTTTGTTTCATTTGGTGCCAGGGATCAAACTCACGACCTTGTGCTTGCAAAGCAAGCACTTATGGTGTTGAGCTAAATCCCAGGCCCGTTCCAGTTAATCTTGTGTTGTCTTCATTGTCTGTCTAGCAGTTGTTGAATTACTTTTTGTGGTTCTTAACTATTTTTAGGTTTTCCTGTGATGACCTCCTGTCTTCTCGGTCTGACAAGCCTTCACATTGGTTGCTCTGCTGTGTGTACTTTCAGTAGAAGTTTTAACCTCCTAGATTTCCACTTGCGTCTGTTTTATGGAAACTGTTTCTTTTCTGTGTTAGGCATTTATGGTTTCCATGTCTTTCCTAAGCTCCCCTAATTTTTAAATCTGCGTCTACTCTAGACTTACTAATCATTTCATCATGATTGCCCTCTCTTGAATTATTTCTGGTTTGTTTTAAAAAGAGAGCGAGCCTCATTGACCTGTTTTGTTACTTCTGCTGCCAGCACTGCATTACGTTCAGCTGGAAGGTTTTTTGTTTTCCCTCCTCATTGCCCCGATTTGCCTTGAGTGAGCTGGGAATTACGGGTTGCATCTTGCTTCTGAATCTTCCCATTTCTTTTTACATTTTTTTCTGTGGTAAACTGGTAAACTGCTGTATGGTAGGTAACTTTATTACTAGCACTGAGATCTCATTTAGTCTTTAGAAAAGACTTGCTTTTCATAGATGTCTTTGAGGTATAGCTGGCTTTTGCTTTTGAGTCTGTCCCAGGATCTTCAGTTTATTAGGGATGAAATGTTGCTACCTGTTTGGTTTTGTACCCATTTCATTGGTATTGGACTATGGTATTGTTTATGACCCCTAGACAATCTAGGTATTGGCATACAGGGAAAATCAACTGATCCAAACAATTATGTCACCTTGACTAAAGTACTACAATCAGTAATAACAATAGCATCAAGCACAGAATAGAAAATGACAGACTGTGATAAATTATTGCCACTTTTAACCATATGTACAAGATTTATAGTTATAAACAACATCTAAGATAAATTAGAAAATTATAGACAGTAAATATTCACTCAATAGGAGACAGACCAATGGCCACACCAGCAAACAAGCCAGTCTGGGAACCAGCGCCATGCGTGGGCCGCTACCAGACTGAGGCTGACCAGATCCCAGCCCCTTCCAGTGCTCAGGCTGGCAAACAAGAAGTACCAACCCCCCAAGCCCCACCGTAAGTGACCAGCTTATCCAGAGAAGCATAGGCTGTGATGATAGCTGTTGAAGTGGAAGTGGTGCTTTGGAGCTTCACTGACACTGCAGGTCTAGGGCCAGTGGTCTGATCATAGGTTCAGAGGACAGTGGTACACAGTGTGGCATCTAGGGGGGATCTCCTTCTGAGGGATGTAGCCATTGTTGACTCCCTATGGTCTTGTTTTGAAGTCCTATATCATTTCCATTGTTTTGTTCTCTTTTGTTTTGTTTATCTGATGGCAGGAGCAGCTTTTGCGGGGGGGGGGGGTGTCTTCTGAGACAGAGTCTCACTGTGTAGTTCAGGCTGGCCTTGAGCTCACTTTGTAATCCAGGCTGGTCTCGAACTCACAATGATCCTCCTGCCTCAGCCTCCCGAGTGCATGCATGTATCACCACACCTGGTAGAGAAGCTATTTCAAGGATAGCAAGATATATTATGGGAGCAATTTTGGAGTTACTATTGGCTTGTTTTGAAGTCTTTTATTACATTATTGTTTCACTTTGTTTCTTTTCTTTTTTTTTTTTTTTGTCTTTTTCCTTTTTATCGGTACCGGGGATTGAACTCACGACTGCCTGCTTGCAAGGCAGGCATTTATGCTGCTGAGCTAAATCCCCAGCCCCTTCACTTTGTTTCTATTCTACTGTGTTCTGTTTGATTTTTACTATGTCTGAAATTATCTACAGCTATTTTGAAGACATCAAAGGGTATTATGGTAACTATTGTTGATTTCATAATGTTTTGAAGTCCTGTATCTCTTATTCTGATTTTTTTTTGGTTGGTTTTATTCTGTTTTATCCTCTTTAAAATAAAAAAATTTTAAAAATTACCTTCATTCTAGCCCGGCATGGTGGCTCACATCTGTAATCCCAGCACTCAGGAGGCTGAGGCAGGAGGATCGTTGTGAGTTCGAGACCAACCTGGGTTACAAAGTGAGCTGAAGAGCAGCCTGAACTGCATAGAGAGACCCTGTCTCAAAAAGACAATCAATCAATCAATCAATATTACCTCCATTCTCAATATCCACTCAAAGAGCAATTTTACCCTAAGGGGAAAAAATAGAGAAAAATGAGAAAGAGGTTAGAAGCAATGCTAAGGGACAAAGGAGACTTCCCCAAGCTTTGGGAAACCGATGAGGCAGACAAGGAGGAAAGAAAGAAGGAAAAAACAAAATCAAGTATAAAACAAAACAGAAAAACTAAAAACAATATTCACACTCATGAAAAAAGAAAAACAATACAAAAAGAACAAAGGAAAAAAAAAAGACATTTCTCTGTCATTTCAAGCCTGTAGTTATCTTCTAGCATCTACAGTTCTGTGACAGTGTCGGGTTCAGGGCGTGGCTCTGTTGTACTGGTGGACAGCAGGCCGAGCCCAGGTCTGTGCTGGATGATCCCAGCAAGCCTATAGTTAGGGATTCTCAGTAGGATTCAGATCACAGAAGTTCAGGTTGATCCTGACTTCTGGTTGTGGGGTTGGGGACCGAGTCATTCAGCCTAGTACACTCTGGGTGTCTCTTGCTGGCCTGACCTTGGCTCCCTGACCCTGATGTCTCCCAGTGGTCTGTCACCCAGTCACTGAGGGATTTCAATGCTGGGAGCCCTGAGATGGAGCCAACCCACAGCTGCTCAGAGTTGCTGGTTCAGGTGACCCCTCCCTAAAATGGGTTCTGGCAAGCACCCTCTGCAGGAGACGCTGGAGTCACTCACCAGCTGTGACAGCGCACAGCACCCACTCTGTCCCGCTGGGGCGCTTCTCCCTGGAAGGCTCTGGAGTCGCCCACTCTCACTGCGTGTCTGTAGAATCGATCCTTCTCTTTCACACCATGAGCTGGCAGCTGGGGAGAAAGCACAGATTCCCCTTCTTTTTCTGTGTTGAGGCTTCTCTTTCTTTGTGGGCTCGTTTTCCCTCCAGATTTTTCCTGGGCTCTATGGACCCACCTCTCTCCTTCTGTTCTTCCCCAGACTGTTATATTCCAGTGTCTGGATTCTGAATCTTGGGGAGGGTGATTTGCTGCTGCTTACTGTTTTGTCCTCTTCCTGAAAGTCACCCTTCAATGGTCTTTGCTAATTTTTTCTGTGAAGGATGTACCATTTTTTTGGTAGATCACTGTTATTTGTTTGAGACAGTCTTGATATATAACCCAAGCTGAGCTTGAACTTGGGATACTCCTGCCTCAGCCCATGCTGGGCTCATTTTTTTTTTTTGTTGATAACTGTCTAATTTATAATTTCTGTACTTATTGTGATAATCTCCTTCCCCCATTATATCATATAACTGGGTGTTGCAAGTACCTTGGTTCACGAATGCTTTTGTTTGCAAACAATTTGGTTCACAAACAGAAGTGTTTGGGATAATTTTGTTTTTGTTTACAAACTCTGCATTATATGACAAACATGACCATGGCCATCTTTCCCACACAGACACAAATATGGCCATCTTTTCCAAAATTGTAGAACAAATTAACTTCACACACTGAGGTACCACTGTATATGGAAACGCTGTTATCTGTATGTTAATAATTATAATAGGCCAGGCACGGTGGCACATGCCTGTAATCCCAGCACTTGAGAGGCTGAGGCAGGAGGATCACTGTGAGTTTGAGCCTAACCTGAGCTATAAAGTGAGCTCAAAACCAGCCCTGACTGCATAATGAAACTTTGTCTCAAAAAGACCAAAAAAACCAGACAGACAGAAAGAAAGGAATTATAATATTCACCCTGTATAATCATCTGCCTGTATCATTCAATATTTTTTTTTTTTTTGTCTTTTTTGTTTTTATCGGTACCGGGGATCAAACTCACGACTGCCTGCTTGCAAGGCAGGCGCTTATGCCACTGAGCTAAATCCCCAGCCCCATCATTCAATATTTGAAAGTATATATTTAAATAGTTGTATAATATTCCCCTCTTCCTGGCCGGGCCTAGTGGTGCAGCTGGGTATGGTGGCACATGCCTGTAATCCTGTCACTCAGGAGGCTGAGGCAGAAGGATCGTCTTGAGTTTGAGGCCAGCCTGGGCTACACAGTGAGTCTGAGGCCAACCTCAACTACATAGCAAACCCTGTTATATATATATATATATATTCCCTTCTTCCTGTGTACTGTAAGCTTTTAGAAAATACCCTGTTTTTGAATCTTTAGACCTTGAGTGACATATCTTTGAATCTTTGATGATTTCTTGTGCTGGATTCTCAGAGGTGCATTTCAGGGGGCCAGGGGTGTATGTGCTTGTGGGGACGGGTCAGGGGGCTGACCAGTTGGCAACTGTTCCTTTTTTTGCAGCAGCCCACGCATCCTGTGTACAATATTGGACCGGACAAGGTGATCCAGGCCACTACACACTTCCTGCGCAAGCCAGTCCCTGGCTTCGAGGAGCCAGAGGATGAGGGGACAGCAGAGACTCCAAGTGACTAGAGGACCCAGGCTGAGCTCTGTGCGCCCTACCTCCCACTCAGACAAGGTTTTGTGTTTGGTACATAGTGTGTTCCATATTCAACAAGCCTTAGCTACTGTGGAGCTGTGGTTTTTTTTGTCCTCTGATGAAACAAAGCCACTGGTTCTGGGATTGGAGTAAACAGTGGTGTGGTTTTTAAAAATTCTTTTCATCCCTATCAACGCTAAGACTGTCCACCTACCCGTGCAGTGAGGTGGGGAGCAGTGCATGCTGGGTGGAAGCTGCCCTCTCACCAGCCCTCAAAGCTGGACGGCCACGCAGAAACAGACGGTGTCTGAGCGGCATAGCCTGCGAGGCCCTTGCCGTGGCTCCCACCTGCATGGACTGTTAAATCTCCAAATGGGACACCCACACGGGCTGCTTCATGCCGAGGTGTGGGGCTTTGGAAAAGACTGTTGGGGCTGATTTAGGAAGTCTTTTGCCTCTCACTGTCCACCCTGGTTATTTGCAAGGGACAGGAGCTGGGGGAGGAGGGACAAATGTCTTGAGTGGGAGTCACTCCCTGCAGAACTGGAGATCTGAGCCAGGCATCTCCACAGCCATGTGTGGGCCCAGGTGTGGCGACTTAGACCAGGAAATCAGCCCTGAGTAGAAATGTACCCCTAGTTCCACTCTGTGCCAGAGCAGGCAGCCCCGTGCTCAGCCCTGCCCATCAGATTCCGTGAATGTCCCCTGACGTCTCAGGGCAGCGCCTGCAGCCTAGGGCTCTTCATGTGTCTCCATCTTTCTTTCGCTCGACTCCCAGCCCACCTGCCTCCAAGCAGTGTTGTCTTTCACACCCAGAGTATTAACACTACTAAGCCTTTCACTTTAATTTATGACTCAGGATTCATTCTCATCCTGCCCACTCTAGGCTCAGAGATGTCAAATCAAGTGCTAGACAAGCCAGCTGCTGTGGGGCAGTGGCCGGGATGGAGGCCCCGGGGGGCCTCTGCTGCCTCTTGCACTGAGCCCTTGCATGGTCAGTGGGGTGCTGAGCTTGGTCATCGTCCACTGCTGCGGCAAGTTCCACGTCACTGTCCCCACCATCGTGTGTGCACCATGGACTGCAGGCAGACAGGAGCTCAGAGACGCATCATGAGACTGTTTTCAAACAACTGGCCACTCGCTGCCTCAAATTCCCTACTGCTTTGATGCATCGGGCTGTTACCTCCTTGAAATAATAAAAGAATAACATTTTCTATGATGTCTCGTTTTGTTTTTGTTTATGGTACTGGGAATTGAAACCAGCACCTTATGCATTCTACGATATTTCTTAATGATCTCTACCAAGAAAATCCTTCAGAATGCCCAATACGGGGTGTTACCCAAGGTCGCCCGTGGGATTCCAGGCCATCCATGGGCATTCAGGGTTGGACACAAGTTCACCTCTCATGCTGCTCCTCCAGTCCAGGAATCGGTGGGCCCAACAAGCAGTGTTGCTTTGCAAAGTCCCTGACACAGTTCCGTTTACTTTGCTCCCCATGCTCTGTTCCCTCCCCTGTGTGCGTCTCCAGCTGCCTGAGTCTGAGCAGGCACTGTGCTCCTCAGCCCCAGTGTAGGCACTGCACCCTGGTGGGCAGGGTAACACAGGGACACGCTGGATCCTGTGGCTACCTGGATTTCCCAGCTCTTTCAGCCTGTCTCCAGGAAGGCTGGGAAGCTAGGTGCTTGCTCTGTGGCTTCCCTTGGGAGAAGAGAGGGTGTCCTCAGAGGACATGCACATCCACACAGCCCAACCACATCCTGACAGCCTGGAATGTAATTCCTGGCCCCTGTGCTATTTTTGCTCTGCTAACAAAGGTTGGGCTGCAAAACAACATTCTGCAATGCATCCTTCCCCTCACAATAACAAAAAGGCAAAATGCTCTCAGCACAGAGCCTCGGAGTATCCCAGGATCAACAGCAATGACAACTGGTGTGAGTAAGCAGAAGGCTGAGCTGGCTTCCTACCAAGGGGCTGGACCCAGGAGATGAAGTTGGGCTAGAGAGAGCAGAGAGGGCCACGTCCTAGCACTGTTCTTGGTGCTGGCGTTGGCCACTTTCTCGTTTTCTTCTTCTTCCTCTTCCTCTTTCCCCTCCTCTCCCTGTCCCCAGCTCTATTCTTGTCTTTCATCCTCCTGAAGCACAAAGTTGCTCTTGTGTCAGGGTTTCATGCACCAGCAGTGCCATGGAGAAGCTCATGTCACTGGGCAGACCATGCCCATGCCCAACTGGCCAGACCATGGAGAGGTGATCAGGAGCTGTGGAAAACGGTCCCAGAGGACTGCGCAGATAAGATGACTCTGAAACCAAGCCTGGCTCAACCAAGGCAAAGCAGCACTGGAGCGGGCTACCAGGGAGCTCTCCCGGACACAGGGTACCTCCCAGCACCACCAGCGGCCATCTTGGTCCTGGGGTCAGGCCATGAGGGTTTTCTTACAGGGTTGCCCTTTCCTTTCCAGAGCAATTCTGAGGGCAATGCAGCAGTGGCCTTCGTGAAGCTGCCTCTCAGAAAGAGAGCAGAGCCGGACACATGGCCAAGCACAGGCCTGTGATTGAGGCCAGCCCACGTCTTGCTGTGCTCCTCCTGGAAATTTGATGCACTCAGTAGACAGGTGAAGCTTAGGAAACCCTAAGAAGGTAATTAACAGCACACCCTTACACTGTTTCACCAGTATTAGGCAGATACAGTAGGTCCCTGACTTAGTAACTTTTGAGTTACCAACTTTCACAGGTGTGCTGCGTAAGACTCGTTTTGTCGAATACAAACCAATATGACATACAGACAGTTAGTTCTCCTGGAACAGAACCTGTTTGTAAGTTGGGGACTTACTGTGCATGTCCTTCTGGCCAGAATCTCCTAGCCAGGAATTAAAGACGAAGCTGTATAGAACTGGGGATGTAGCTCAGGTGTAGAGCACTTGCCTGGCATGTGCAAGGCCCTGGGTTTGACACCCAGCACCACAAAAAAGAGTTGGGGGGACTATCTAGTTACTATCTACTCCCTGGCTTACGGCCAGGGAGAAAGCCACTGGCTTTACATGTCAGATATACAGATAATAATGTTGATGTTCCACTACAGAAGTTGGCCAGACATGGTGACAAATGTCTGTAATCCTAATACTTGGAAGGCCGAGGCAGGAGGATCACTGAGAGGTCATGGTCAACCTAGACTACATAGTGGGACCCTCAAAAAAACAAACCCTGAAAATTAAAGAACTTATCTATCACTCCCACTGTATTTCCATCAACCCCACCTGCTGGGAGTAGGTCACCCAGTGGCTCAGCATCCAGACTCCTGAAAGCCACAGGGCCTTGAGTGGAAACTGGGTGTGGTCTGGGCAGGGCTGCATGCCCAGACCACTCAGATCCTGCCCCATCTCCAGAGAACACAGTGAGCTGAGAAGGAGGGGTGTTAGGGGGACACAGGCGTACTGTGGTGTTAGTGGTGTTAGTAGTGTTAGCAGGACACAGGCGTACTGTGGTGTTAGTGGTGTTAGTGGTGTTAGCGGGACACAGGCGTACTTTGGTGTTAGTGGTGTTAGGGGGACACAGGCGTACTTTGGTGTTAGTGGTGTTAGGGGGACACAGGCATACTGTGGTTAGTGATGTTAGTGGTGTTAGGGGGACACAGGCGTACTGTGGTCTTAGTGGTGTTAGTGGTGTTAGTGGGACACAGGCGTACTGTGGTGTTAGTGGTGTTAGGGGGACACAGGCGTACTGTGGTGTTAGCGGTGTTAGTGGTGTTAGCGGGACACAGGCGTACTGTGGTGTTAGCAGTGTTAGCGGTGTTAGTGGTGTTAGGGGGACACAGGCGTACTGTGGTGTTAGCGGTGTTAGTGGTGTTAGCGGGACACAGGCGTACTGTGGTGTTAGCGGTGTTAGCGGTGTTAGTGGTGTTAGGGGGACACAGGCGTACTGTGGTGTTAGCGGTGTTAGTGGTGTTAGCGGGACACAGGCGTACTGTGGTGTTAGCGGTGTTAGCGGTGTTAGTGGTGTTAGGGGGACACAGGCGTACTGTGGTATTAGCGGTGTTAGTGGTGTTAGCGGGACACAGGCGTACTGTGGGGTTAGCGGTGTTAGTGGTGTTAGGGGGACACAGGCGTACTGTGGTGTTAGTGGTGTTAGTGGTGTTAGCGGGACACAGGCGTACTTTGGTGTTAGTGGTGTTAGCGGTGTTAGTGGTGTTAGGGGGACACAGGCGTACTGTGGCGCTCTGCCCAGTGCTGCCTCCATTTGTGGACACGGATTTGTCAGCGGGGCTGGTAGCTCCCCAATACTGTGTTTGTCCACCATTTACACGTAGGGGCAGCACATTTGGGGTGAAGAGGCAGATGACACTACAGTTTCCAGCCTTTCAGGTCACATGGTCTCTGCTCCCATTTGCCACTGCACAAACACACAAGCGTGGCCATCCCCTGTCCAACGGGCTTACAAACACAGCTGAGCCACTTTAGTTCCCTACCCCTGATCTAGCCCAAATCTCATCTGTATTCACGCACCATGCTGCTGTGTCTCTCAAGGCTGGAATGCTTTCCATGTAATATTAGAGTCAAATGACAAACGAGCTCTGTAAAGTCTGGGCCACATACACTGTGCAGCAGCAGTGACTGCCTTGGCAGGGGGACAATGTGATTTCAGACACTGTTTTGGAAGGCAGAAAACAGGCCCAGCTGACTTAAAGCAAAGAGGAAAGGACTCCAAAAAAAAAAAGGAAACGACCAACTCTGAACACGAAAAGTACAGGGATGAGGCTGGCGGTGGAAGGGCCTCAGCACCCACCTTGGGCTCTCGCCACAGGAAAAGCTGGCAGCTGCACGGTGCCCTGGCATTGCACTCAGCAGACAGCGCACCCAGCCGTCTCACCCTCCCTTGCAGGTCCAGTGGGATCAGTTTCACAGACTGGCTGGTCGCTCTATCTTGGAGGCGCTTTAGTGCAGGTAGGGAATGGGCTTCATCAGAAGCATACAGCCTTGAGACTGGGAAAGGAAAAAAGCCCCGAATACAGATGTGGGGGGAAGCCCAAGGGGAAATGCAGGCTGGACAGATGGATCACCACGACTCTTTTCAGCAGGCTGTTGCCATGACAGAAAACAGTGCACAAAGGTGGCATCCATTCCACCCTAAAGCAAGGCTCTTCCATCTGTTTCTGTGCTCCAGGAATTCTGTCGCATTTGGTAGTAACTCAGGAGGAAGCCTGTCAGCCTGGCTTGCTGTAGCCTCAGTGACTGTCTTGGAGCCAAGAATGTGACCTAAACCAAGCAGAGGCAGGAGGATCGAAAGTTCGAGCCTAGAGTGGGCAACTTGTGACTTAGCAAGACCCAGCCTCAAAAGATGGTGGGGATGCAGCTCAGCGTGAAGGTTCTGCATCTAACCCCAATACCAAAACAAACACACAAACTGTGATCTAAAATAGTCTAAAGAAAGGGAAGTTACAGGCACACGATGACAGGGAAAAGCAGCTCTCTCTTGTGAGTGAAATGTGTGTCTGGCATCCTGTAACCTCCTGGAAGGAAGCAGCCAATAGGAAAGCACACAGACTCCGGGGACACTCAGGCCATGGCCCACCTGCCTCCAGGTTCTCCGTTCTGTGAGCCGGTCTGAATGTGGTTTACTATCATTGGGGGCCCTTGATATGCATTTTTCAGCTCCACAATGGTACACACAGAAAGTGCATGTGGTGGAAACTATACCGTTTCCCAGGTAAAGTGTAGTAAATATATTGACGATGTTTTTAGTTCAGGATGGGTTTGGGATAAGACCCTGTTGTAAATGGAGGCACATCTGCACTTGGAATGGGAAGCATCCTGGTACATACAGAACTACCCCAGATTAGCCTAAGGTCATAAAGGTAGCCTGGAAATTCCTGAACACCCTTACCACACCTCTGGAGAGCAGCCCTGGCTCACCTGGTCTTTGACCTCTCCTCACTTGACCTTGACTGCTCTGTCAGGTGGACAACCTTTACAACTGGAGGAACAGGTTAGACAGCTCAGTGAATCACCTCGGTCCCTCGGCTGTCAAGGGTCAGAGTCAGTGCCTGGACCCAGCTCTGCTGCCTGCCCCGCCACCCCACCCGAGCCTCAGAAGGAAGGGTCAGAGGGGCTGGGACGGTGATGGCTAAGAGAAGGGAGCCCAGCTCAGGCTCTGAGTGGCAGAAATCGAAGCGTGCTCGGACAGGGCTGACCCAGTAGAGTGGGGCCTGGGGTGACTCACGCCGAAGCTGAGGCTGAGGTTGTCTTCTTGGGAGTTGACCGCGATCTTCTCTAAGCAGCCGCGCCCGTCTAACCGGCTCCTGGACATCTTCCTCACTCCTCGCAGCCATCTGTTTGCCCTGCTTGTCACCAGCTGATGCGTAAGGTTGAGAGAACCAGGTGTTCAGGCCTCTCGCTTCTCCAGTGATCTGAGAATGAGACCAGGGAGGCAGGGACAGAGCACTGTCAGTGGCTAACTTGTGAATATTTCCCTCACCCTTGTCTCTCCCGAAGGAAACACAGGTCTCCTTACAAAATAACAGTAATAGGCAGATGAGGTGGTGCATGACTGTAATCCCAGCACTTGGGAGGCTGAGGCAGGAGGATCACCATGAGTTAGAGACCAGCTGGGGCTACAAAGTGAGTTTAAGGCCAGCCTAAATTCATAACAAGACCCTGTCTCAAAAAACAAAACCAAACAATACCAAAAAAATCTCCCCACAATAATAAGGCTTGCTTTTATTCTTTTGAGATAGGGTCTCACTATAGTTCAGGTTATCCTTGAAGTCACTATGTCACCTCAGCCTGCCTGATGCTGAGATTACAGGCATGTGCCACCACACCCGAGCAATAATATTGCATTTTTAAAAGTAAGTTTTTTGTTTGGTTAGGTTTCTTGATGTTGTTGTTGCTTTGTTTTTGTGGGGTTTTTATCTTATTTTATTTTACTTTATTTTTTTGCACCAGGGATCGAACTCACGACCTTGCACTTGCCAGGCAGACACTTATGCTGCTGAGCTAAATCCCTGGTGGTTTTTATTTTATTTTAGTGCAGTTCTTGGGCTTAAACCTAGGGTCTCTCATATACTCTGCTATTGAACTACACCTCAGCCCCAAAATAGGCTTTTAAAATTTCTTCCAAAACAGGCTTAGTTTTAGATGGACAGCAACACCTCTAGGATGGCACACCCAGTTCTCTTACACCCATCAGGTAATTTTCTCGGACATTAAACAGTGTGTCACAGAATGGATACTTTTTTAGCTCAAGTCCACACTTTATTTGAATACCCCTACTCTTTTCCTGATGCCATTTTTCTGTCCCAGAATCCCACTTAAGGCCCATTATGTCCAGTCACCTCATCTGGCCTTGATGTCTTGAAGGGTATAGGGGTACTGGTCAGGTATTTTGCAGAACACCCCTCAGCAGGACTTTGTGTGGCACTTTCATGTGGCAGATCCAGTGATGGCTATTTGGAAGGAGACCTCAGAAATAACGTGCCGCTTCATGAATCAAGGACACATGCTGCCAACTCAATCTGTCATTCAATGTCCACTCTGACCACCTGGCAGAGGCTGCAGTGCTTGTCAGGTGTCTCTGAAGGTCGCCCTCTTGCTCCTTTCCATATTGTGCCCTTTAGAAGGAAATTGCTATGTGTAGCTCACAGGGAACAAGTGGGGCCTTAGGCTCCACATCTTTGAGAGCACAGTAAGTAAGTTATTTGGAATTCTACTTGCATCCAGGCCCCTGACACATTTGGGCCTTGTGCAGGGATTCTGTCTCTACCAGAGTGCCTTGAAGACCCAGGCCAGGCCATATAAACTGCCTCCTCCCCACTGGATGGCATGGAGTGGGGAGGAGGTGATAATAGAGATGGGATTGATAATAATGGGATTGATTTTCCACCTATTTATTGTCATTTGGTTGACTCTCTGTAACTGCAAATCCTGCATCTATAAATCCAACAAACTGCAAATTGGAAATCCTGCATATGAACAAAGTGTATCTGTACAGAATATGGACAGATTTTCCCCTAATGGGATCCCCTGAACAATACACTACAACAGCTATTTCCATAGCAGTAAACTGGGTTGGGTACTACAAATACTCAGAGATGCTGAAGCATAAGGGAGGGATGTATATATTACATGCATAAGGGACTTGATCTGAGGGATGCTCTGTCCCCTAAGGGACTTGGAACATAATGTGGGGCTCATGCAATCTCCAAAGTTGAGGGGTGACTGTATCATATGGTTTGGATTCATAAATATTTATTCTTCTTTGCACTATGTTCCAATACTATGTAGTTTACTTTGTTGCTCCAGTTGTTCCTGCTTTAGGCATCAGGAGCTCTTTCAGTTGGCTCTGTGTCCCTCTGACATATCCACACTTCCTTGATGATCATAATGATTCATCTCTACCATTCCCTTTTTGTGAGCAGTGGTGCCTGTCAATGACCACTGACACTGGGAAATGGTACGTCTGGGCTGGGACATTGTCCTCTCACCTTTGATCATGTTTTCTGCAATCAGCACGCTCCCTCACATGCTAGTTATCTTGGGTATGACACTTGGCTGCCACCTCTGCACCACGACGCCCCAGCCTGTGGGACAAAGGGTGTCCTGCAGCCTGTAGTCACCAGACCAGAGCAGGGCTCCAAGTGACAGCTTGCTGACAGGGAAGTCTGGAGGAGCACTGTCCCAGACCATGCTGGCCAGCGCCTGTCACACAGGACAAGGTGACACCCATGATGACTGAGGCCCTGTGGTCTAGGACCTTTGCTGGCAAGGCCTCTCTGTCTTTCCCTTGATCTTTCAAGCAGTGGATCCTTAAGGGGTCAGGAATATGTGGAATGGGAAGGGTGATTCAGCCCATCACAAGATTTGGAGCCTCTCTAGATGCCGCAGGGTGGTGCCGCTGGGAGGGAGGGAGGAGAGCTCAGGAGCCTGCCTAGCTGAGCTGGCCCTCCCTAGCCCCTGCTGTCATGCTCCTCAAGGGCCTGGCTGGACTTGCATCCAGGCCCCTGACACATTTGGGCCTTGTGCAGGGATTCTGTCTCAACCAGAGTGCCTTGAAGACCCAGGCCAGGCCATATAAACTGCCTCCTCCCCACTGGATGGCATGGGGTGGGGAGGAGGTGATAATAGAGATGAGTATCAAGGGTGTGTGCTGTGGGGCAGGAGTTGCTGCAGGGTGAGAGTTCCAAGCCGAGGGCACTGCCCCTGCAGAGTACAGTGGGGAGGAGCAGGGAGAGGGTCAGGCAGCAACAGCAGGACCTGTGGAGCCTTCCCACCACTGCTCACCCTGTGCTACATGGAACAGTGCCCTGGTCTTGGACTTCCGGGCTGGGAAATGGGGTGCAGCTGCTAGAACCAGAGCTCCTTCTCCCACAATCTCCCACTAGCCTCCCACTAAGTGTTCACTGTGGATGTGACATCCCTTCTGCAGTTGGCTGGCCTTGCTGTGGCTTTTTGGTCCACAGCTGCTGGCCACTGTCCTTTGGCCCCAGATCTGCCCCTGTCATCTCTGAGCTGCTGATGGCACCAGGAGACAGGAAACAGTAACTTTGAAGTGCTGTGCTGGGAGCTGCCCAGCCAGCGGACTCCCTGAGGCTGGGGAGGAGCCATGAGCCTGTGGTTGGGCCTGTAAGAATGGGGTGATTTCTTGACCTGCCTCCGCACACAGAGCTGGTCCTGGGTCCCTGCAGGAGCTGGCACTGAGGCACACACCTCTCTTCACAGGCTGGCACTGCTCAGTCCATTTCCTTGGCAGAGCTGAATCCCTCTCCGCTTTCAGCACTGGAATAAAAGTTCTGATACAGATTTCTTAATATCAGATCCTTCATTCTTTTTTCCTCCCTCTGGCCTTTACTGGAAAAAAGTAATAGAGACTACAGTGGACAATTTGCCCAGAGATGGCCACAGGTATGCAAAAGCCCCGTCCTTGCAGTGAACATGGGAGCAAAGGATCTTGACTCTGCCTCCCCGAGCCCTGCCCCACAGTCACAGTAAGCCTGCTGGGCCAGCTGGCATCCAGGGTACAGGAGGGACCTGAATGACTGGTTGTGAACTGTCCAGGGCCACCTGCTTGGTGCCACGCTAGACACACCCAGCATGCTCCTCGGCCCCCGCCTCCCTCCACTATAATAGTCACTATAATGAACTTACTCCCTCCCTGTATTTTATGAGAGTTGAGCCATTCTCCTTTTTTAATTAAATTTTTTAAAAATCAAAAAACACATCCATTCTTTTGAAACACACTCAGGAAACCTGAATGGACCTATGCTAGCTTAGCTATGGCAAACACCTCCACTGCAGGCTCACCTTGGTCTCAGTTCTTTTGACTTCTTTTTTTGAGGGACTTGTCAAAGGTCTTTTCTGGCTCACAGAACCCCTCGCCAGGACCTGCAAAGGCATTTGAGGGGCAACTCAACTTTATAATGCCCGGGGGCCAAGAACAACACCCTCCGACCATGCTGACACTGCCCGTTTCCTAAACATGTGTCCTGAGAAGCAAGAGCCAGGGTCCATTACACAGCCAGGCCACAGATCACTTCATCTTTCCCTTCTTCCAATCACTGTAAAGAGGCCCTTATCGTGTGTGGCCTCTTTACTCCTCCACTGCACCAATAACCAGCACCCCCTCCTGCACAGGAAGGCCGGGGGGAGTGCAGGAGCTGCCCCTGCACACATTTGGCCACACGGTGACCTCATTCACTCCACATTCACACTTACCATCCGGCAGCGTCCGCGCTGGCAAACATCTTCCCTATCTGGATCTCCTCCTCGGCCTAGAGAAACCGTTCTCAGCTAAGGAAGACTCTGTGCCATGTATGGGGGCTGCCGTGAGCAGAATGGGGGAGGTCTGAGAGTGATGTCAAGCCTACCTGGGGACCCGAAGACAGGCACAGTCCCGGGGACTCCTGAGAGAATGGTGGGGACTGAGCAGGGAGCTGGGGTGAGGCGCCGCTACCCCCACCTTGCTCCTAGTGCAGCAATAAGAAAACTGGCCTCAGACCAGCTTTGGCACTTAAGCTCCGCTGTGCCTCACTTTCCCTACAGCCTCGTTTGAGTTATACTTCCAGAGTCAAACCTGAGTAGCCTGAGAGCGCGCCTGTTTAGACTGACTGGCTGTTGGATCAGAATCCTTTTGATCAGACTGAAGGCTAGACATCATTGTAATAAGCACCCCAGGAATGGCCCCAGGACCCCACTTTGAGCAGTACCACTGTGGTGCTTCTGAGCAATCTTCCTGGGCCTCTAGAAGTGTCTAAAGCTCAGCTGTGCGTCGCCCAGTGGGGACAGGGACTCTGATTACTGTAACCTCGGCTTCATCTGTTGGGCCAGTCCTCCGCGTCTCTTTAATGACTATCTTAAGAATACAACTGGGGAGGGATGCATTTGGTGATCCAAGAAATCAACCCTCAGGCTGGGGATGTAGCTCAGTAGTAGAGCATTTGCCCAGCATATGCAAGCCCCTGGCTGGGTTTAATACTCAGCCCCGCACAAACCTAACAAAAAATGCCAAGGATCTCAACCCACACATGCTCTGGGGGCAGGTGCCTATGAGCTGGACTTTCCATCCTGCAGTCAGTTCCCACTGCATTTTGTGCAGGTGACAGCTGGCACTTGTGTGCCACTGGAGCCAAGGTCAGGCACATTTGCAGCTTCCTCATTTAACCCACAGAACCACCTTCCAAGGCTAGTATTACTGTCCCTGTTTTACAGATGAGGACACAGACTGAGAACAGTCACTAAGAAAGAGACAGGAGGCACGCAACCTACAGAACCCAGGCTTAAAGCACATGCGGTACCATTAGAAACAGCATTCTGCTTCTGCAGCCCTAGGGCTCTCATCTCCTAGCCTCATCTAGTCAGGCTTATATTTTAAGCCTGTCCCAAGTAAAATGACAGCTCTTAGAGCCCAGTTAATTCTCCACTGAAGCGAGAGCTCCAATGGGATGAGCGCATCAACTTTAAAAACTGGGCCATTTCAAATACTTGGGCAACGGCCAAAGTAGAAAGATACCAAGCTCACCACTGCAAGAAAACGTGGTGGTTTTTCACAGGCCCCAGTGAAGTCACCTGCAGCAGGGACCACGTGACTCAACAAGTTACTTAGCTCTATGTAGATCGGAGTGACAAAACAGAGATCACCATCACTGAAAGGGGTAACCTGGCTAGACCAGTGTCCTGGGGCTGCCCTACACTGCTTCCGGGACAGATGCCAGAAGGGACTTGGCTGCGACTGAGCTTATCCTTTTCAGCTGAGCACTGTGCAGCCTTTTTCCTGTCCGGCCCACACCAGCTTCCTCCACTTGCAGGGTCCGCAAAGCACACCAAGCAGGTGATTCGTTTCTCAGGGGAACCAGGGACCATGTCCTTTTCTTCTACTTGATGGAACTCCAGGGAAGGCTGGGGATATAGCCCAATGGCAGTGCCAGTCTGGCAAGCACAAGGTCCTGAGCTTGATTCCTGGTACAAACAGACAAAAAATGGAACTTGAGGGAAGCCTAAACTCAGCATCCAGTGCCCCAACACCCTGTAATCAAGGCCTGCTTCTTGGAACATCCTGCTGGCTTGACTGTCCCTGCCTACTGGATGCCCAGCTCCTTGGCAGTAGGGATTCACCATGGTTCAGTTCAAACACCCCTCCTGGCTCAAAGTGTGTGTGATGAATTTGCATCTAAGGCCAGATACACAGCCAGCCAGTGACAACATGGCAGAGAAGGCTTGCTCTATCAACCTCTCTTCCCAGTCTTTTTTCATTCCAAAGCTCTTCCCTTGGCCTTGAATAAATAGGATCCTTGCTTTCCTAATGTAATCAGCAGTTGTGTAGCTCAATCCCATCTCTGGTAGAAATAGGGGCAATGATCTATCAACTCCAACTGGCCAGAGATACTACAGGTCTGACATCCAGGAGACCGAAGCCCAGCACTCTCCACCACTCTGAATCAGAACTTAGCCGACTTCGCTTCCTTCCTTGGTCTAGGAATAGCAGTGTTTCCTGTAAAGCCAGACAGGAAAACCAAAACCAAGCTGTATTCTAGCAATGTCTGTTTCCTTTCAAGGTTAAACTCATTCAGGCCGCTGCTGAGTCCACGAGGCTGAGCTAACCTGGTCCTGCTGCGGCTTCTTGACTTCTAGCCTGCGGCAGCCGGCTCTGTCCTCTCCCTCATGGGAACTCTCCAGGCCATGGCTCCGTACCACCATCCAGACACGGATTCCCCTAAGGGTCATTCGTTTAGCAAGAAGTGGATCCAGAAATGTAACTGTACCCTGCTGGAGCCCCAAGTCTCTTTCCAGTGAATACACTTCTACTGCCCATTTACCTACTTCTCTCAGGCTGAGTGGGGCCCTCAAAACAAAGGGGGAGCAGCTCTGATTATGCTGAGGAAGAACCCCTGCTCTGCGGGCTGCCACACAGGAATGCTCTTCTGCAGCCACCTTGGCCTTTGCAGGGGCAAGAAGACACTACCACCACAAAGGATAAAATAAGTTTTTATTTATAGTCTTATAGTAAAGGGGGAAGCCTTAACTTGCAAGACAATTCTTCAGCAGTATGTACAACATACTTTTTATTTCCATGGAATGGAATCAAACAGACAGAGACTACAGAGTATACACTAGAAATCAGCAAATGCCAGGAAAGACAAAGAAATGAGGCCTAAACACACAATACCCTTCACTGGGATCTGCTGACTGCAGCCAGAACCAGGGCTGGATCACAAAATGGGAGAGAGATAGGGTCCAGGACAGGAGGAAAGTGGGGTGAGGGTGGGGCAGGGGCCACACTGGGGTGCAGGTTTAGTACCAGGTAAATTGCTCTTGGTATTTACATTACAAAACCAGTTGGCTCTATTTCTTAGAAATACACATGAAAAGAAAGGAAGATTTGATCATTACTTTATGAATCTGTTGCTATGCCATTCCGACATCATCAGAAACAGGGATAATTCACTCAGATTCAAATTTCAGTAGCAGGAAATAAATATCAAAACATCATCACTGGCTCTCAATACAAAACCCCCATCCCACCCAATGCTCCGCTGGCCCCACCCCCTAACGTTCCCCCATGACTGGTCTCCTGGCCGCACTGTAAGAGTCACTCGGCCCCCTACGAAGCTGGCTCTGCAGGCTTACACAGCGGCCAAGAGCAGCAGGAGGGAGACACACGCAGACTCTGCAAATGTGTCCCCACTTTCCTTTATACCTTGAACTTCTTCAAGGATCAGGTTTCTCAACAGGAGCAATAAACAGCTTTTCAGAAAAAGATCCTTACAAAGGAGAGGGGTAATTCTGATTACTCCAAACTGATCGCCTTCTTGAAGTTGAAGCAGTTCACAGATTCACATAGTCTGTCAAGGAGAAGTGGGGCAGGAGGAGAGGCATTCTCCAGGCCAGTGCCTGGTGGGCTGGAGGGGCTGGTGGCTGGGCAGGACATTGTATGCTCAGAGGTCCAGCCAGCCGTCTGTCCTCCACAGAAAAAGCTGCCAAGTTGGGGTGTTTTGGTTTAAAAATTCCTGGGGGGACAAGAAATCCCTGAAGGGAATACAGTTAAAAAAAAAAATAGTGAAAGTGGGAAGGAGAACAAGAGCTGTTGTCCAAGAGCGTCTACATAAAAATAAAAATTAAAAAAAGAGAAAAAATAAAGAGTCTCTTAGAAGGTTCTGAGGGTTCTAACGATGAATCAAGAGGAGGAGACGACGGAGGAGACAGTTCTTATTGCTGGCCTGCCCCACGCAGCTTAGCTGGCCTCCATCCGGAGTTTCTTCCTGCTCTGGGGCTCTTCGGGCTCCGACTCCGAGCTGGAGTCCGAGCCCCCATCGAAGGCAGAGATGGTGCTGCCCTTGGAGTTGGTGTAGAGGCTGCTGTCTGAGGAGGGGTAGTTGGTCTGCAGTTGGGCACTCGACCTCGCTTTCTCCAGTGCACGGACTACAAGGCAACCAAGGGAGCACGTTACTAGCATCTGGAAACCTGGCGCAGCTCAGGCTCCAGCCTGTGCTTCCTAAGGGCGTGCTTGCCAGCCCCGAGGCTCACGACTGACTCCCTGCTGGCGGGCGCACTCTGCATTCCCTCCCTCCTCTCCCGGCTGGACCTGGGGGCCAGCAGACACGGCTCGTCACTCTGCCGTGACACCCAACCCCGAAGAGAAGGCTGTGATGTCACCATCCTGCCACAGAAGCCCAGCGTGTGCAGAGTCCGGAGCACGAGCTCCCTGTGGAATTCAGCAGTGCAATGACAGAGGAAAAATGGCCAGGCAACGCCAGCATCCACTGGGTCTGAAGGCCACACGACAGTAGGAGAAGATGACAGTAAGACTGGACTGGCCAAAGAAGAATTTTGGCTCAGCATTCACGTACGATCCACTTGGAATGGCAAGCTGGACACTTGGAAGCAAGTCACCAATACACACAAATTTCCTGGGCCTTCTGGCAAGAGAGCCCTTACATGCAGGCTTCTCAGCCCCTTCACCAACCCTCTGATGCCACCCACTGCCCAGCCCTTGGTTCAGCTCAGCTCGAGCCTGGAAAGTCAACCCATTGGTTTCATTTATTTTATGTGAGGTGTTCTAACCCAGGAGGTTACTTGCATTTCCTTTTACTTGCATCTTCCATGAGGGAGGAAGAGAAGTGAATTCCCCAGGAACAAAGAACTTGATCAGCTCTCGCTTTCCCCTGTGGTTGTAGGAAAAGGCGGGTGGTGAGCACAGGAGAACAGCAGGGCTTGGCCCATGGGCTGCCCTGAGTGGACTACCATTGTCAACGGGGAGGGCTCACTGTCCCCAACGCCTGGAGTCTGTACTTACACAGTAAATTCCATTCCCAGGACCTCAAGGCTCTTTTTAGACACCTGATGCCAGGTGTGACCCCTACTGTAGGAAGAGCACCTGAGCCCGGAGAAAGGGAGAGAGCAGGCCAGAAAAGATGTAAGCCTCCATTCAAGTCCCTAGCCTCGCTATCTCCTCACAGGTGGCTCGGGTGCTTCCCTGGCTCGACTCTAACACCCACTGTGCAGGCCTGATTGTGGCCGAGGCTGCTGCTCAGGCTCGCTCCAGGAGTGGCTGGCTGCAGGATGGCAGGGCCAGTCGCCCCACAAGCTCAGCTGCTCACCTTGCTGCTCCAGAAGAGCATTCTGCCGCTTGAGGTCATCAATATCTTGCTGGTGTGTGTGGTTTTTCCTTCGCATGTACTGGATATATTCTGTGGCTTTGTCTAGGATTTGGGCCCGGGATGCCTGTTGCAATATGAGAAAAAGCATAGGGGACTAATAAAGACTGAGTCCAGGCAGTGAGGGAACCACGCCATTCTACAACAACAGCACGGGAGGGCTAGAAAGAAAAGGCTGAGGTGGGGAAAAGCCAAGGAAAAAGTCACAGCCGCGAAAGCCATCTCTGTGCTCAATGTCATGTGTTTCACACAGCTTACCTCGCACAGTCTCAGGAGTGGCTCAGAGGAGCGCACTGGCTCCTTCAAAACCACTGGCTACAGTGACACAGTCTGGGCTCAGACTGGGTCTGACTCCCAAACTTGTCCTCCTCCTGACACTTCTAGATTTTTAGGTTGCTATAAAGTCTTCACTTGGCTATGTCTGAAAACATCAAAATGCTACTTAAAGGAAAGCTCAAGCCACTTAATCTCTTCTAGGGCCTGGATACCAGCTGCTGGTCCAGAATGACAATAACGAGATCTTAGCTGAGCTGGGCTGGGCTGAGAGTGGGCACGGGCTGTTCTACCATGACTGCAGACTGCAGCTGTTCAGGCTTTCCAGGGGCACCACGCAGCTACGTCATGGTTCTGACTTCCCAGGTAAAGATGCTCTGATGAAATCTGCCAGTGCTTGATGTCAACACAAGAAGAGCATGCAATGGAGCCACCTCAGGAAGCAATCACACCTCCATAATGGTCATGGGCAGCCTGGGCACTGCCCTGTCACTAAAATGCATGTCATGTTACCATGCGCCTCAAGTCAAACTTGTCTGGGAGATTCCCTCCAGGCCACACGCATGCCAGGACTACTTGTGGCCATATGCCCAGCCAGCCAGACTGGTAGAATAGTGCAAGCCAAGAAACGCTGCAGGCTGAAGGGTGACATTTATGCCCTGGGGGCTTCTGAGCAGCGGGCAAGCTTCTTACTCAGAGGGCAGTTCTCAACAGCTCTGCGTTACACTTGGTGGTTTTAACCAGAACACAGCATGCGGGTAGTAGAGAGGCAAAGATAACATCCACACTCAGGCTAACAAAACTACTCATTAAAAAAAAACTCCTAAAAATCAACTCATATACCTCAGGGCAAGCTGGGAACAAGAGAGTTTATTCACTAGTCCCTGAAGGTACTAGAATTTCCAGGCTTTCCTCTCAGGGTACTTTTTAAGGCAATCTCCTTAAAAGGAAATCATTCGTAATCATTTATTGTGTGTGAATCATGTGCAAGGAACTGAGCAGACACGATGGGGAAATGTGTTAGTCATGGCTTCTTTGACCAGAAGTTTACTTTAATACTATCCATACACAGACAAATCACAGGCAGCACGGACAAGTATAACCTGACAGCAAAGATTATGAAGGGCATGAGAAAGGCGGCTCCTGGCCGAGGTGACTCCACACTGTGTGCCAGGCACTGGCTATGGCACTGCATCCCGTGGAGAACACACTCCCTCAGGAAATCGTGAACCCTGCATCAGGCAGCGTTGAACCTGTGCACAAAGGTCATTGATAAGCAGCAAAGTAGCAGAGCCAAGGGTGTGGGCCAGGCAGAGGCCAGCTGCAGGTCCTCAGGTGAGTAGGCGGAAATGGGAGGAAGGCCAAGGGCACGGAAGATGCTATTTCTGCTTCTGCACAAGGGCTTTTGTAGGGCCTAGTTATTAGGAGACACAATGAGAGGATGGGGGCCATAATTAAGAGGGGCAAAGGGAAACAGTCTCACTGGACACTGGAGATGGAAGTAAAACTGACTGGCAGCAGGGGCTAGGTGGCAGTCTGGGGGCCGATGAATGCTTCACAAGGTGTGTCCCCTGGTCACTACTGGGCTCTGGGCCAGCAAACACATTCCTCTCCACATTATCTGATGAGATTCTCACAGACTTTACCCTCTCTACTGCTGATACAACTGCTATGCACAGTCACACTCCAATTTCTCTTTAAATTTGCTTATTTCTTTTTCTTTTTTTGTCTTTTTGCTTTTTATAGGTACCGGGGATCGAACTCATGACTGCCTGCTTATAAGGCAGGCGCTTATGCCGCTGAGCTAAATCCCCAGCCCCTAAATTTGCTTATTTCAAAGCTGCTTTCCCAAGTAACTGTTCCCACAAGGCAATGTTAGGTTTCTTTGTTTTTTCTTCCCTTGAGCCAGGGTCTCACTATGTAGTTCAGGCTGGCCTTGAACTTGTGGTGATCCTCTTGCCTCAGCCTCCCAGTGACTACAGGCTACAGGCAGTGCCACCACACTAGGCAGTATCAGGTCTTATTTAACTACCTCTGTATACTGGGATAAGGAAAGAAAAGCACAACCTCTGAAACCAGAGTGCTTGCAAACGCTCAGTAATGCTCACTAATGGGTGACAGATTGTGACTCTTACACACAAAGCCACGAAGGTAGTATCAGGAAGTGAAAGGTGAGCAGTGAGCACAGCAAAACAAGCCAGAAGAGTCGGGGAGGATCCCACAAATACTTCAGGATAGTTTTGGACATTCATGGCATTCATAGGTACTCCAGCTGGGTGCAGTTACATAACTTTGAAGGCTAAGGCTGGAGGGCTTCTTGACCCTGTTAAGTTCAAGAACAGCTTGAGTGACACAGCGAGATCACATGTCAAGCCATACATGGCGGTATACACTTGCAGTATCAGGTACTCTTGAGGCTGAGGCAGGAGGACTACAAATTTGAGGCCAGCCTGAGTAATTTGATGAGTCAGCCTCTAAATAAATACATAAATATTGAAGCCGTAGCTTAGCCTCTGCCTACCATGTATGAGATCCTAGATTTACTTCCCAGTGCTGCAAAAACAAATCTCACCGATCTCAAAACAGAATACCTGGGGAGCCAGAGGCCTGCATGTAGTCCACAACATGCTACACAGCTTTTCCTGTCCCCCAATGAAAGCAGTGCCCTAGTCAACTGGGATACTCCATCCCCTCAGCAAGTTCAAAAGAATGATTTGGAGTTAACTTTGTTCTTGCTAAGACATGCAACAAGAATTAAAAGCATAAAAGTCGAAGGTTGAAGCTAGCCACCCCCCACAGTACTGCCAGCTTTGTGGTCTCTCAGCAGCCAGAGGGGCACAAACAAAGCTTCAGTGGAGAAGACCTAGCGTGTGGCAGTGGGGCCAGCAGGCCTTGACCCTTCACAGCTGCTGAGACTGGAGGATCAGTCTGCCCTTGGGAGGTCCCACTGTCTCAGAATGCAGCTTTAAACTATCTAGAGTCATGGCAAGAATCAAATACCTATTTTATAAAAGGCCTCAACTCGGGAGAGTTCCATTCTAATTAGAAACTTCAGCATCTTGTTGTGTAGTTCAGGCTGGCCTGGAACTCTAGCCAATCCTCCTGCCTCAGCCTCTTGAGTGCTGAGATTACTACCATGGCATCATGGTAGTGCCACCATGCCATCTTACTAGAAAGTTCAAATCCCAAATCGTTGCTGAAGTCATTAACACTGAAACTTAGGATCGATTCCAAGGTTATTCAGTGGTTTGCAAAAGTTTTCACTTGCAAGGCAAGAGTTCTATACATTTCTAGAGTTACTCTCGGAGC